AACTGGAGAGAGGTGCCAGTGATGTGATTGATGTCGGAAACTGGGAGCTTTCTGCTGGTCCATAGCCGCTTCCGCCATGGGTCCGAGTTGTCAGCAGGGTCATTATCCTAGCAACAGGATGGTGGAGCTGTGGGTGAGGAGTGTGTGCGCTGGAAGTGGGAGGACCAAGAGGGGGGGGGGGGCAGAGAGAAAAGAGGGGACGTAGAAGAAACAAGGAGAAGAGGAAGAATGTGGGATTAAGAAAGGAAGAGAGCAAGGAGGAAGGACAGACGGGAGGAAAGCGAGGAAACAACAGAGACAAAGAGGGGAAGAGAGTAACGAAGAGCGTTGCCGAACACCACGGCTGTGGCGAGCATGCGGACTTTACACAGCAAAGTAAGCACACAGCGGGCTCGCCGTGAGAGGAGGCGAGCGGTGGAGGTGCCACCTCCCTCAGCCTCCTGGTCCCCCCCCAGCATGCCAGCCAGCCTGTCTGCCGACAGCTGCACCCCAGTAATTTACTTCTCTCCACCACATTTAGCAGGAAGACTGCTTCCCATTACCCCGAGCAGGGGGTCCGCGCTGACGGCCAGACCCCCGGCCAGCGCGCTGGAGTCCCGGTGTGACACCCTCTGCTGCTGGACCCCGCCTACAAGCGCTCCCCGCCTACACCGGCCTGGCACTCCGGCTGGTGATCAACTTGATAGTGTCTGGATATCACATCTACCAAAACTTGGGTTATCGGTTGTTTTGTTATTTGCAAAAAGTTATTTAAAGTTACACATGCTATTAGTTTAAGTCAAACCACTCGTCACAGAATTATATCCCGTAGCTTCTATGATTGGTTTTTCACACACATTGTTCACTGGTTATAATAAATATTGTAGGAGTCTCAGGCTTCGACCTCTCAGCTCCTTCTTTTCTTTAATTTGTACTTAACAAATGGAGATACACAATAAGTTTAATTACGTATATAACTTTAAACTGTATAAATAATCCAATCACATTACTTAAGTAAGTAGTAGAGCAGCATTGCATAACTTTGTTTCTGACTTTATTACCATGAGATATTATCCACAAGCTTCAAGATAAACACTTTGGGATCCACTTAATAAGGACGTAGTAACTTTAAGTGCACTCGAGACTTGTTTGTTGTGTGTAAAAGCCTCACAATATAGGCGTATATTTGCAAAGAGGTATCGTTCCGGTTCTGCAGTACTTAAGGTGTGCGTTTGTGTGTGTGTGCTGCAGCAGTGTGTGGCCCATGACGGCCATAATGAGGGGATGTGTAGGAGCAGCAGCGCTGGCAGCATCATGAGACATTCTTAAATCAGGTGGGCCCGCTCCTTTGAAGAGCGTTTAACTGAGCAGGGAACACCACATTCCCTCACCGAGATCACAAATACAGAGAGAAAATGAATGTTAAAGAATGCTGGCTGAATTATTAGACGCCTGTTCACCAGATGCATCAGACGCAGACGTGCAAAAGATGAAAATGTTTCATCGACACTTACTACCGTGTCCGGTGTTTCACAAAACCCATACACGATTTTCTCTCCTCTCTCCCCCCCATTCTCATTCCCAGTCTGTGTCTCATGCAATGGGACCACCAACAAGGTCACGCTTGGAGGAGCAGCTCATGGCCGTCCTTCAGCCGCATGACCAGCAAAGGAGCCAATCAGCTGATGAGCTCCTGAACCGCTGAGAGGCTCCGTGTGGCATGTCGCACACAACATCCATCCGTTCTCCTGGGGCCGATTGGGTTCACTGAGCAATGTTCTGGGAACATCACAAAGATTCTGCTCAACTTCTGTCTCACTCGCTCTTTATGTTTCCCTCGCTATCTCCACTGGTGTGCCCTCTGCCTCTCCTCTCCTCCCTCTATCTCACCCCCTCCTCCTCTCCTCTCATGAGTCGGAGCCAGCTGAGCGTGATACCCAAATCCAACAGTTGTTGTGGCCTTCGTTAGCCTAACGAAGGGGCCGACTCTTTATACTTGTCAGGGAGCAAATGAGTCAAACAAACAAGGGCCAGGGAAGAGGGGAGGACAAGCGAGCGCTGTTCTGTTGAGCTTGACTGGGTTCTTGGCCGCAGCACTTCCCTGGAAACTAGGGAACCCACAATCTGCCTCTTTGATGTCCGATGATGCTCTGGCTTTGATGGAAACTTTTGGAAAAAACACACTTGCAAAAAGAAATAACATGCTGCTCGGTCTCTGTGGCCACTAGAGGCCGTAGGCACATTCAAAGTGTGTGGGTGCACTCTGTGAAGGATTCTAAAAGGGAAGTACCATTTGGGGACGCATAACAACTGGTTATGATAGTAACAGAGTTACAGTGTTTTAGCAAGCCTGTACTTGTGATGCGGTCTGTGCATAAGGGCAGCGGGTAATGTCCTGCTGGCAGCGTAACTTCTGAATAAATATGCTTCACACCGTCCATACACTCATACATTTGCATATGCATGTCCAGACGTACGTACAACCCACTCCCGTCCTACTCTGCTGCCTTGTCTTGCATTCCAACGCTGTCCTTCCGAAAACAGACAGTCACAACAACGCGTCCCAGGCAGCTTCCACAATCCAGACACATTACTGCAGGACAAGGCTTGGGGAGAAAGTCGGAAGGTGTGTCCTTCAGAATGAGATCATTTCACTGAGCGCAGCCTGTCTGGAACAAATGTGCAGAGCACCTCAAGGCTGAGAATCCGCAGCTCTAATGACAGATTAGCTCCACTGGGAGGGGGTGGGGTGGGGGGGTTTACAGGGTACGAAGGCACAATGCTCGCTCTACTTTCATTCAGGAGCCTCCACAGAGTCTACACGTGCATGCTGAACATGAATAATGGGAGTGAGTGACACGGATGTCTTCAGATGACGTGTCCGAGCTGCCGCGCTCTGTGCATGTGCCCGACCCCTCGTCAAATCCATTCATCATGTCGCACCATTAAATGGGCATTACTGGAGGAAAAGGCCACATTTTTTGCAGAGTCTAATATGAACGTAGTTTGGTGCTAGATGGTGTCCATGGAACACACACACAAAATGTTGATGGAAATATGGAGGGCTATCTTTTGTAAAACATTAAATTGGTGTTTTGAGTGCACACATGGGAGTAATGAGCATGCTCAACACACTTGGAAGCGGCGTAAGCCATTTATTATGACGCCCACGTGGAGATGTGAGTCACCTGGGTGGCGCCGCCACCACACACTAAAGCTACACTCAAGGTGCAACATGGGATGATGGTGGCTGAGCTTCCTGGCTGAGGTGACGGACAGCGAGACACGGCTACGGCAGGTTCACCTTCTGTGCAGTGGCTCTGGGGGCAAAGACTGCATGACAGTGACGCGACACTAAAAGCCTTCCTGTCAAGGAGGCAGGTGGACGCTCTCCAATCAAAACACAGAGGCTCTGGGTGACATTTCACAGGGCACAGCTGCTGGGCTGTGACAGCATGCCAACTCACTATTCCTGAAGGGTTGTTTGTTTAGTTAGCGCGTGCGCGTTACAAGTAGAAGGGTGTCAATGCTATAACTCCGTGTGTGTCACCTGCCACATGTTATTCTACTAGTCACTAATTTACTACTCTTATAGTTACATTTTACACCGGCTCTCCGTCACAATATTCCATTCTTGTCAGTACTGCTGAAAGTATGAAAAAATTGACCTGTGCCAGTTTTGTGGCACAACTAATATAAAGGGAAAGGAAAAAAAAATAAAAAAATAAAAATAAAAATACAGAATGAATGACACTTCAGCCCAAACTTGTGGCTGTCAGGCCAAATAAAGGGGCAGTTTGCCCCTAAAGCATCTGACACGTGTCAGAAAGCTACGTAATTACATACACATTTTGCTTTGTCGACTTTTATGAAGATTTGTAGGAACTCCTTTTTTTATGGCTTTGGATAAAACTATATTGTTGTCATAACTATTCAACAGAGCATCTGCAGATGGAACACTAACAGCATCCAACATGTTATCCTCTCCCTCACTGGAAGGACCCGGGTGTGTCTACCTGAGACCAACTGAGCCGAACCAGGCGGACTCTTTCCTAAAACAGCAGCCTGTTATGCTCTGAGCCCAAGCCTTGAGGAGGGGGAGAATGGGCTAACATACTACAGCGGCACACTGTTTGTTTCTCTCCCCCCCAAGAGTCCCAGGAACTCTCCTTGTGACCTGCTCCTATCACCTTGTCCCCCGAGTCACAGACTTTCCTCTTTTCCAGTAAAAGCCTGGTTCCTTGGCACTGGGCCTGGGAGGCTTCAGTGGTTTTGGAGAAGTTCCTTATCCTATTTTGCCCCTGGTGGTGTAGGCGGTGGTGGAGTGGGCTCCGTGAGGCAGCTGCAGTTTGAAGGCAGAGTTAGTATGCACACATAAAGCTGCTCAAAGCCAGCAGGTATGTGAGGAATGCGTCTTCGTCCAAACAACAGGACTCACGCCCGACACGGAGCCGTGCCACGCCGCGCAGCACTGTCAGAGCAGCCAAATGGGGCCCACCAGGGACTCTGCAACTGGACGACTCTTTACATCACATCTTGCGTAAATCCTGTTACCCGGTGATCAATCACCCTCTGCACATGTGTCATTCAGTTCAGGCATTTCTGCAGCATTAAGAAAACAAATCTATCAACAGTGCACAATAGTAAACTCTCGCTAATCCAAGTACCTCAGGAATGAAGGTAATGTGGATATGGGAAACCATTAAGAGTAAAAATAAACATTTTTAAAGTGTACACCTTTTATGCCCCAAACCGCAATGTAGTTTATGAGTACATAAAAAAACTTCCATGTGCATGTATTCCTGAAACAAAGTATTTGTTTTGCAGGTTAAAGGTGTATCAGTCTGCACAGTTTCTAGTACATGAGGTGATGATAACTACAGTAAACTACATGCTAATTGAATTATTAAAAAAAATACACAAAAGAAACCATGCAACGCAATCTGTGGAGTTGCATTTATCACTGAATCTGAATCAAAAATAAAATCAAACTATATACTACAAACTATCTTTGCGTTCACCTCGTTTATGCAGCCATCCCTCCTTGACAATCACCACATTGGTCATGTTGGTGGGCAGGGTGGAGGATCCAGGTTTCCCGCAGGCAGAGACACAGCTTTGTTTCCTTCACTCGGCTCTGTGCAGGAGCCTGGAGACGAGGTCCCGGGGTTTACAGCCGCCCTCTCTCAATGGTGGTTACCTATTAGTTGAAGAAGAGTCAAAATTAGCCCCATATTGAGGTGAAAGATTGTTCCACTTGTCTGAATATTAACCCTCAAGTCAACATAGCAGAGGGGAGGCAGTGGAATCGAGAGGACCCGAGTGTTTTATGGCTCGGGTTAGTGGAGGATGTGCTCAAACCACAGCGCAGTCCCTTTCACATGTGGAACCTGGAGCACTGCGAGGTTCAAATAGCCGTGTACCGCCGTGGTTTTTTGGCATTCACAATGAAGTCTTCCCCCCTATTGGAAAATCCCATGCTGTTCTCTCACTCACACACACACACGGTTTTTCTACTCACCACCAGAACAGCAGGAAATTTAAAAAAATAATGTTTTCAAACAATTCTGACACAGGCTGCCTAAATGCCTAAACTCATTTTACAGATGCACAGGGTGTTTGGCGTTAACTGTTTAGCCTACAGTTATATTTTTCAATCCTACATAGTCAAAGGTTATACAAAATTCACTTTGAGATGAGGTCGTTTTGTTAAATGTAAAATAATTGCTTTGACTTTTCATCACCTGATCAAAATATTCCGCGGCTACTGAAAAAGAAAAAAGGATTTCCCCCCCCCACAATTGCATTGACAACTCCATCTGCTAATGAAGTTCATGTGACGTGATCAAAAGCTCCCGGAACAGCTACTGAATGGGCCTCGAGTTGAGGTTGTGAGGTGACGGGGCACTGCATCTGTTTGAGTGTTGCCGTTTGTATTCACACCTGACCAGTTTACACTACACAAGTGTTACTAGGTCCTGGCAAGGCAAGCTGCACAACATGTGGGCACCTATCCACACGTGAAGCCGGCATGAAACTGCCGTCACATCTACGCAGAACAATGTGACACTAGTTCTAAAATATGTAACGGTCTTCAGAAAGATGTTTAAGTAAACAAGTGGAGCATTAAAAACTAAACATGGGTAAAGATACAATGATGATCTTATCCCGTGTGATAGAAAACAGGATAACACTGTGTATTGACAGTCATCAGATACACTGAATTGGATTTATCTGATAACGGGCTGAATTCCACCACAGACGTATCAGTCAGCCATCAACATTGTACACAAAAAAAACCTGCAGGCTACCGTAACCAAACACTTGACCTTTTGATTTATTCAGTACTTCTTTTTGTTATGCAAAGACTGCTTTGAATGCAGGGCAGTGGCAAGAGAATGATCCCTTACCACGCTTGTTCACACAAATGTCACATACTGCACCAGGCAATCTCTGACCATCGACTGAAATCAATTGCCTGCTGCTACTCAGCCGGAGTAAGGCCATCAAAAGAGAGCTCTGTTTGAGTGGCCTCATCTAGCTTACTGGTGGGGACAACAACAGGAAGTGGATGTGACTATTGACAGACTTTGAGTCATATCAGTACAGCCCCAGGCTCGCATGCGAATGTGCGATCAACACGCCTTTTTACTGCCATTCTGCTCACTTCCATCAATGAGCCAAAGTGAGTTTGTGGAAGCACAGTTTATTTTTGCCCAGTGTTTTTGTTTATTGCACTGGGGTTGTGGTGCTTGTGTCACACAGTCGATGTTGGGAGGATCTTGGAGAGGGATTTGAGAGAAAAAAAAAAAAAAAAAAAAAAAAAAAAAAAAAAAAAAAGGCACACTGAGTGCTATTCAAACTAGGGATCACACAAACCTTTGGATCTCTCCGGCATCTCAGTGTGTACACTGTGACATAGGCACGCACACATTATATACACATTTGGGATACATCACACAAACTTAAGAGAGAGCGCGCGCACACACACACACACACACACAAAAAAAAAAAAGCAAAAAACATGCACAAGACCGGCTCCGGAGCCACAACAGAGCGCTGCTGTTTTAATGGGAGCGACCTGTTGCTACTGCGGCCTGTGTGGAAAAGCTGGCCTGCTGCCAGCGCTGCAGCTAGCAGCCACTGAATGAACCCAGTACCCTGACAGCGGGTCACATGGTCCTCGTGCCTCTGGGCCACCGCCTGCCTGCCTGCCTGCCTGCCCTGCTGTCAGTGCAGCTTTCAATCATTCATCTTTTTTGGCTCTGGCGCTAGGGGCCATCCCATTCAATGCAAATCAGTCCCATGCTGCAAAGACACCACACACACCGAGCCAGTCACTGGGCCACAGAGGGCAGTCCCATGCGTTTACGGCAGGAAGCAGAAAATCAGGCCAACATCACCACCGCGCTACTTCCTGCATCATAGATCGATAGATACAAATCTGGTTTTGCTCCATTTTCCTGCTGCTGCCGCTCGGGTAAATACGAGAGTCAGCGACTGATTTACGTTTACAAAAGATAGAACATTACGCTCAAATAGATAACATTAAACAACGAAATGAGAACATAGAATTTGCCCACCTGCTGCTGGAAAACAGTCCCTGAAGCGACACTTGGGTGCGAGTTCAAATGCCATAATGAAAGCAGTACTAGTGCGATCTACTTCACAGTACCAAGTTCCTCTATCAAGTTCCCTGAAAGCACATCACTAATGATAAGAATAGTGGGTAGGTGAAGCAGAATACCAAAACACAGCTACTGTAATCTTGAAAGCCTCGTAGACTCACTGCTGTAATCTTGTGATGACATGAACAGCAACCCCTTTATGACTCATGTAGAAAATGTATTCATTGTCATGCTGCCGGGACAAGCCATGAACTAAATTAGTGACGGATCAAAATGGATACTTGTTCTGTCCTTTAAAAGAAATAATCCGCAAAACACACAGGGTAAGATCAAACGGTAAATGGATGGTACATTTGGTTTGTTGCGAACCAAATGACCTGGCTGTTGATGTGAGCAACCAGAAAACAAGATGAACGAAGAAGAAAAGTATGTTAGGCCGCAGTGTTCTCAGTTTGTGACACAGAGAGCAGTCATGTGATCCCGATGGTGGGCTACCATCATTAAAAGCGTATCCTTCCTCAGATGTAATGCATCTAAACTCCTGTGGCACACAATAAGTTTGCCTGTGCACAAGGGCAAAATATCAAGCAACATTCCCCCGGATTCTGCATGCAACCGGTGGCATATTTGCGTCAACGGGGCTTCGAGGAGATTGGGTGGGATGTGACTGGTATTTTCTAAATGGAGCGGGGAGAGAGCCACTGGCTGCATCATTACGCCAGCTTGTTGCGTCCTCCCCAAGTCACATGCAAAGTCCCCCTGCATAGACACGCTTGGACAGACGTGGTCTCGTGTCCCATGACCGGTAAAAAACATTCTGACACTAAAGGCGTTAAGGTACAACATGTTCTCTTTCCAGGCTGTACATACATACATACAAGTGACCTGTGGGAGGCCAACTGACAGTAACATAAGTAACGTGAGGTTTGTCTCAAGTTGGACATTTAAGCTTTGCATCTTGCATGTCCATTAAAATTGTGCTGCTCAGACACTCCCATCACACCAGTAACGTTAATGCTTCACATCACAGACACTTAAAAAAATAAACCCTTCTTGACGAAATGACTGTCGTAAACAATGATTTTGTGAAGAAATGCATAACTGTCATCATTGTAGGTGGGATGTCAACAGTGGGGACAGTAGAAACACCAAAACAACCACCCACATGCATTTAGTAATTATACTGATTACAAGGGAGGACAATATGAATACAACTCTATTATACCTTTGCTTTAGGACTTCCCTGGTGAGCAAACCGTGGACCTAAAAAGGTCCTTGTGACCACAAGAAGGATGGCATCTAGTCACAACAAAGATGTACTACTTTGTGTACCTGAACGTGAATGCACCAGTGTTACAACAGAACAGCAACAAGCTAGCAAAGCTATCGTCTCACTCTAACAAGTAAACAAACGCAGTGGTAGCTCATAACAATGAATGAGCTACCCTCTCGTGTTGAGCTCATTTGTTTTCGTTGGCCTCCCCCCGGGCCGTAAAGTACAAGCGAAAACAACTTTCTCGTAGAGGTGAACCGTTTAAAGTAACATGACTGCAGATATTTTGGCCTGAGGGCTGTGTCTCAAAAGTGGTCATTGTCAAAAGAAATGAATGGTTAACTGCAGAGTGACTCACTGTTTGTAGAAAAACAACAACGCGTTACACACTCAGACGTTTATACAGCCGTTGACTTTACAGCGAAATAACTTCCACAGCGACGTGGAGTCAGGAAAGTACCTCATTTGAGGTTTGCATTTAGCGATAGAAAGGATATGGGGCCTAGCAGGGCAGCTTGGGTGAGAATAACCGCATCCCATGTAAGTACAATGGGGACCTACCCTGTCGAGCTGTCGACCTCTTGTAGTTAACCATGCGAAGGAAACGCGGACATTTACCTGGACAGGAATTCAACAATGTGTCCGTCTCATTATTGTGAGCTGTTTCGGCGGTATATTAAGTTGATAAGTCCTTCAACAATGTGGACAAAAGTGCTCTCATTTACTCCGTTTCTTTGCCTTTCTTCCACTACACCTCCCAAACGCGCTGTCTGCAATGCCTCTGTGGCAGCCTGCTCTCCCGGGTCCTAAAGCCGGTCTATTTATGAGTCCCACTCAGAGGAGGAGTGGTAGGCTGTCAGCCGTCCCATTGAAAAAACCCTGCAATGTGTCTACGGGGGTTATTAGGGGCTGCGTGGCCTCGCTGAACTCTGCGTTGTATTATCTGTGTTGTTGTTTTCCAATATAGGGTCCGGGGTTCTACAGAAGCCCCTGTAAGATTTCCAGGGGATCTTCAGTACAATGAGGCATATCTGTTTTTCACTTCCTGAAACAATCGCACGAGATAATGTACAAGACCGACTCTTTTTTTTTTTAATAGCTGTTCATTAGTGATTAAATGTTTGTACTTTGCCACCTGCTGTACAATGAGCTGTTGTAGGGCTGCAAATGTTGATTGTTTATTTTAAATATTGAATAATCTGCAGATTACTTTCTTGATTCATTGTTTGGCCTATATAATGTCAGAAAATGATGTAAAATGGACAAAATGCTCACCACAATCTCCAATGGCCCAAGTTGGCCAAGGTTATTTATATTATAAATAATGATCCAACCACAAAATGTTCACGTTACTACAATAGAAGACTAAGAAAACCAGCAAATATTCACATTTCAGGAGCTGGAAGCAGTCAATTTAGGCTCATCAAAATCAATTTTAAATGATTTCTGTATGAGGCTGTAGACAGTTGTTTAACACCCCTTAAATTATATTAGAACAAAATGTAATCAAAAGTCATTCAATCTTGTCGAATTTAATTTAATAATGTAAAAGCAGTGATGTAAAAGTACTACAAGTAGCAAAAAAGTTTTAAAATTGTACTAAATGATAATTATGCTCATTTAGATAAATAAACAAATACAATTTTCCACCATAAAAACCGTGTAGAAATGGTAATTCCTAAAAGGTAAAAAAAAAGAGAGGTGTTTATGGCTATAGTCTGGTGAATGCCCCTGTACACACTGCATGTCATTTTTGTGCTTTTCTGCTTTCAAAGCTTTATTCGTGTGCTAACCACTTTTTGAGAAAATAATAAAAAATATATAAGATTAAAACTCAAAGTAATGGATAAAACAATACAAATAACAAGTAAAAAGTAAAACATTCTAAAGCTAATCTAAAAAGGTGACTTCAGAGCAGAGGTTTTTGTCTTGCAGTTTGACAACTTAAAAGCATTTCAGACATGAAGCTGAAATGATTTTAAAATCATTTGTTTTTTAAACTAGCAGGTACTGTAACCATTGTAGGCATGTTGGCATTGGTGTGATGCTACTGTCCTTCTGTTGCTTGTCGGCACTCAAACAGCATTCTTCTGGTAGTTGATTTATGGCTTATTTTTGGAGGCACCTGATTGGATACAATTACAGTCGTCATGCTAAAGAAGACATTCTTTCACTCTGAGTTGCTGTGAAGTGGAAAGTGCCGTTGACATTTCCAATAAAAGGCCATCAGCCATGCATTTAAGTCCAGGTTCCAATATAACCTTTAGATTTCTTTGCGGTCAGGGATAAATCCTACTGAAGGCACTTTCGCAGACATTATTTCTTTCGGCATCCCAGCACATTGGCTGCATCCTGGTTGAGATGTGAACATGTTTTTTACTGGAGCTTTCAACTGCATCACATGGTCTTCATCAGTGGATGGAGTGAAATCTTAACAAATATTAACCTTGCAGAGTCATGTTTATGATAAATGCTTCATCCACTCATAAAGACTGTGTGAAAGATTTTTTTAAAAGCTAGTAAGTGGACTTTGATTTCCCTTTGTTTTGTCAAAGTATTATTTCCATCATCAAGACTACTCGTGCTTGATATTTAAGTCATGTCAACAGGAGATGCAGATGCATAAAGTTACATAACATCAGGACAGATATGAAAGACCATTGCACTTGTGCTGATGAAACATTAAAGGAAAATGTAAAAGCATTAAAAATGCGAGGTTGTATCAAATTATACCCCTGCTTGTTATAGCACATTGGTTTTGCATAAACTGTCATCTACATCCACAACAAAACTGCCTTACAGAGAGGTAGGAGTTAAACCAGTTTGGGACAGGTACAGACAGGCCAGCTCAGTCACACTCAATCCTCTGAATCCACTGAAGCCCTCTTATGACTTAGTCTAATATATCTTTAACTTCCCATTTGAATGTTTAGAAAACCTCTCTCCATACCAGTTCTCATGCTATTATTGTTTTATATACAGTTATATTTGACCTATTTTTGCAGTTTAATTTCTTATGAAGACACATTTGTATCAGTATGCACAACATTCTTCTTTAGCAGCTTTGGCACAAGTGCAGTGAACTACAAATGTGTATGATATTAAAATGCAAGACCGTGCTTTTGAAAGGTTGCACAATTAACTGATAAATAACATCACAAGAACAGGATAGCAGGGACAGCAGCCAACGTTCCCTCTGTGATGAAAAACTCATCTGCCCTCTGTCTCTCAGCCTCCTCTGTTGTCATTTCCTTTATTCGTCATTTACACTGTAATGTGTTCCTCACTGCTACCATGTGTCAGCCTTGCCAAGCTGTTCCTGTCATACAAACGGAGCTGAGTGAGGGTATCCCATATTTTCTGCTGCTGTTATTCAGTGGAGCCCTCCTCCTCCTCGGCTGTCTCTGGTCCGGCGATGGGAATGCCTACCCTGTTGTTTTGCAGGTTCAAAGCAAAAGTAGCCAGATCAAAGTGTCAAAGTGAGTTAATAATGTCTTTCCTGTTAGAGACTCATCTGATCTCTTTTCTTGTCAGCTTGCAGTATCTGTTCAGAGATTATAACAAACAGAACAGAACTTAATGGGCTGTTGAAGGAGAGCAGATAACATGCGGCAGCAACAATTAGACACAGAAGGGCAGGAGGGCCATAACAGGGAGGAAGCGGTGGGGGGTCTGACCAATACGGCATCTCCCGGCAACAGCAGTGCAATGTTGCTGCAACTGTCACATTATTTTCCTCGATGTATTGTCCACCTGTTATGCAGCTTTGGCTACGGTGCCAAAGACTCAAGATTCAAAGACTTAACACGCTGGAGAATTTGTTGCATTGTCTGATGGGTTTCCCAGCTTGCTTGCAGAAAACCTGAAAGTCATCTCAAATGAAGACCGTTTTGTTTAGCCCAAACATATTTACAATCTGTACATGTGCCAACTTTAGACCCTCAATTTAGATAAGGTTATATATTTTTTAAATCAATTCAAATGTGTAAGTATAGTGTTACTTTGTTAGGTCAAGCAGCTCATAAATGCAGTGTGCAACAGTGAATACAGAACAGTAGCCCTACTGTACTGTACATGTGTGTAAAAGCATGTAATATACAAAAAGAAATCACAAGGACAAATATAAATGGATACTCATTTTATTCAACTGGAATAACAGCTGTTGTGATAATTCAATCTTGTTGAAGATTGACTGTCTTGTCAGTCATTAAAACCTCATGATGTGCAGCCAAATATTGTTCAAACACACTCAATTTCCTTTCACCATATCAAGGAGATTTCCAATTGTTGGAATGGTGCAGCTGTAAAAAAACACACACACACACACACACACACACACAATGCAGTCATACAGTGTAGAATATTATGACTTTACGGATAATAACAATGGGTGAATTGTATGTTGAGTATGTTTCAAGATGATTTTCAATGCATACGGATGCATTATAGAAGCATCCTCAGACAGACATCTGAAACACAACTCAAGCCCACCCCTATGGTGAGACTTTGGTCCAGTGGGTAGTGGATGTGGTTCAACTGTGGCTGGATGGCTGGCTGGTTGGCCGGTCAGGCTACACTGGAATGCGGGGCCTTTTGTTTGTCTGAGAGAGGAGTGGGTCAGGGGGAGAATGCCATTGATGATTGCAGAGAGGAAGAATGAACCTCCAGGAAGTGTTCTCTCTCTCTCCCTGCTCCCCCACTCTCCCACTCTCATTCTCTCTCCCTCTCTGTCTCTATCTTTTTCTGTGTGTGAGAACCTTCACCGTGCCGAGCCTCTCTCTCTGAGGCCGCGGTCCCCAGGCACAACCACTGCTTTGTCTTGCCTTGTGAACACACACCCCTCCTCTACTGGGTGCCTACGTTTGCCAGGGAAACACAGGGCCACTGCTCCTATTCTTATCCACATCGCTGCTCCTGCATTGATGGGGTGTGTGTGTGTGTGTGTGTGTGCGTGTGTGTGTGTGCTGAATGGCAAATTGTTTTTCATGTGGCACACTCATCTGATGCTTCAGTATAAACATTTATCTTACGAGTGTTTTGTCAAAACTAAGAAGTTATTCATCATTTTGTTTGTTGCGCAACAGCAAATATATGTGTTTAGACCAAATAAAGAGAGTTTTTATTTAGAGAGCATGACACTGTCTCATTTATGATCATCTGGACATGACCAGAGTGCAGATACCCACCCTCTGTAATAGCCAAACTAAAAATGGAATAAAGCGGTAAGTGGATAAGAATCTAGTCGGTGGCCCCTTCCGACCAGTGGCTGCCGCCTCCCGTCACATTGCTCATTCCCCTCTGTGTCAGAAGGCTGTGAGGAGCTGCAAATGGCCCTTTCAAAACACACGGCAGCTGGAACACAGGGCAAAGGTGACCAAAGCAGTTGGGGGAGCACAGCGAGGGACAGGAGGGGGGGGCACGAGATGAGCAGCTGCAACCTCGAGCCCCTGTGTCTCTGCTGTGCCACCATATAGCTTTAACAATTACAGAACAGACTCCGGAGACTGTGTTTTTTTTTGACATACTCGACACAAATATGTGACTTTTTTCCCCCCAAAACGTGGTCCACATAAATCAGCATCCTATACCTGTCTTCAGACAATTAAGGCTAAATAAGTCACAGCCAGGACCACGGTGTGGTCTCAGAAAACAAAGGCGCTGGGTGATGTTGGTGCCAGGGAATTCCACAACCCAGGATTAGAGAGAACAGCTCTTAGAAAGTTCCCAATAGTCCACCGACCCTCCAAATGAACAAAGCATGATTCATAATTCTCTGCATCAGTTTACTTTCACAGATACCAGCTTCTTTCATCCACAGCAGGCATAAAACCACAGGCAACATTTTCAGCTTGCAAATTTACATTCTGGATTAATACATATATATATATATATATATATATATATAGATACCGTATATCTATATAGATACAGTATAAATATATAGATATATAGATGTAGACAAAGATATATACGTTTCCATACTTCCGGATTTATCACACTGAAAGTCCCGTTCATGGGACAGGTGTTTAAATAAGACAAGCCAATTGATGTTCCCGGTGTACTCTGCTACTTGCTGCCGCTGTGTGAATTCACGGAGTAGTACAGAACTTATTGTGGCCGCGCGATATCGCGAGACTTGTGCCATTATCAACCTGCTTGACACACAGCAGCGCTGAGTGCAGCCTGCCTTGCCAGGGTCGGACTGAAGCTCAAGAAACGACAAGGAGAAGCGAACATCTGGCCGCACATCATGAAAGGACGTCGGGGCTTCTAGGAAAGAACACGACGAACCGGGCGGAAATAAATGTAAGTACGGCGTTTTTGTGCTTTGAAACGGAGAAAGCCAAAGTTAAAGAGTGTCCCCTCGCCGCTTCGTTCAGCGCAGTTGAGTTCCTCTGCTGTTTAAAAGGCTCCTAGCAATGCGTTTCCCAACACGGACATGGAGCTCAGTTTACTGCGCCCTTGGCTCTCCTGTATCCTCTACACTTTTCTGTCTCTTATTCAAATAGAACTACTGCGCGCACAATTATAGCTGATACTCATGCACATTCTTGTCGGCAGCATCAAACTTTAACATCCAATTCACTTGAGTTTTTTTGTTTTTTGTTTTTTTTGTACAATCTGCCTTTTTCTGTTTTGGATTAACTCCTTTTAAACAAATATTTCACAGTTGTGCGCGTGTGTCTGATGAGTGCGTAAGCGCTTTTTATTATCCACTGCAGTTGTCGGCTGCAGTTTTTTTCTTTTTGGTGATAAATTACCCGATGAATAAAAAAAGTTAGAAATGTAATCCTGTGACACTTATTAATCCACTTTCTTCTTCTTCTTTTTTTTACAAGTTGTGTGTGTAGTTTGGGCAGCGTCGCCCAGAGTTAACATATGGCATAAAAGGGGAGCACAGCTGGAGGTAACGTTTCCATTGCGGTGATGTCAGAGCAGCTGACTCCACAGCTTGCAGTGTAATTAGCAAACATAGCACCAGTTTACTCACTCTGCACCGCTCTTATTTTTTCACGTTAGCCTCCTTCCCCCCCGATGGACGAGTTGCTAGCATTGCCGCGGTGCCGCTCGCTTGTTCTGTAAACACCGCTGTTTTTAAGTGTGCGATCGGAAACGCGCCGGTGCGCCACTTTTATTTCATTTTTTTCCTCTCGCAAATTTAGGAAGCTCGAGAAGTAGGCTGACTACTACCAACCGAAAATCCTTCGGTTGATCTGGAGAGCGGATCCGTTTGCTCCGTGATACATGGGTGGGTGAGCGCAGCGTAGCGTGTCCTGCGCCACTGGAGAGAATGCAGGATTTCTGTTCTCAACTTGGACAAAGTTATTGATGTAGATCTTTTAGGGGACTTCTATCTTTCCGAATAAAGTTTATCAATTGCAAATGCTTTTTGTGAACTTGTATTTTAAAACACGTGCAGGTTTATTGTCTTGCATGTTTGATCATATACTTTTTCAAATCATTTGGCTGAAGTTATTCCTCACACTTTCTCTGCTTTTGGCCACTTCGTGTCTGATAGGTGACCGCAGCTCCACGGTGCCTGAATGGCTTCATTTGGTTTATCCACTATCCTGTTTTTCCTGTTTTTCATCAGGTTATGAAGGAAGAATGGAGTTCCCAGACCATAGCCGCCAGTTGCTGCAGTGTCTGAGTCAGCAGCGTCACCAAGGTTTCCTCTGTGACTGCACTGTTCTTGTCGGGGAGGCTAAATTCAAAGCGCACAGAGCCGTGCTGGCCTCCTGCAGCATGTACTTCCATCTCTTCTACAGGGACCAGCTGGACAAAAGGGACGTTGTGCATCTCAACAGTGACATTGTGACAGCCCCTGCTTTCAGCCTGCTCCTTGAATTTATGTATGAGGGGAAGTTGGATTTCAGCTCTCTGCCGGTGGAGGATGTCCTGGCAGCAGCCAGTTACCTCCACATGTATGATATAGTGAAAGTGTGTAAAGGAAAGCTTAAAGATAAGGAAGTCTCGTCTCTGGATGAAAAGATGAGCGAGGGTCTGGGGCTCAGCTGTCTGGACAGGGAAAATTCCTCTGAAGGCAAGCTGCACAGTAAGCAGCTCATCCGGCGACAGCCCCAGACACAGTCTCAGGGGCTTCACAGGGCCCCCCCGCCAGCTGAGTTTGACATGGACAACAGCGAAGTCAGGCTGGCTGTCACAGATTGTGATAGGTCTGCGCGGAGCAGGCAGAAGGCAAACGGTCACTCTGGAAGGTCCCCGGACCTTGTAAGTGTCAATTATTTGTCAGCAGAGGCCGAGCCCTGCGTCCAAACAGCTGGAAAAACAAAAGCTGATGTCAGTAGTTCCACCGTATCGCTGTCCCAGAGGTCCCGGGCTTCGGATGACATGGACTGTGCGCTGGATTTGTCTTTCAAGCCTCTGTCTAGCAGAGATCCCTTACACCCCTCCTACGTCTCGGGACAGCTGGCCCTCGACAGCCAGCAGCAGGGCACTGAGCCACTTGTTAAAGACGAACACGACTTGCTGTCAGAGCAGGAGGACAGTGAGCCGATGAGCCCTGAGAGCCAGCGCTTTGGGAATAGTGCCAGGAGCTCAGTGGTGACAGGGTTCGCTGCCCTCTTCCCAGGCAACAACGGCTCCACAGCCGCCCTGCTCTCCCAGGAGGAGGACCTGATGGACGAGGAGGGGGAGGCCTGCCGAGGGAGGGAGGGCGCCCTGGGCAGGGAGGTGGAGGAGAGGAGGGGTAGGCTGCTGGGGGACAGCGAGGAGGAGGAGGAGGACGACTTGGCCTCCTCAGACATCTCCACCTCCAGCGGGGTGCTCCTGCCCCCGGGGCAACAGGTGTGCGTGTGCCCCCTCTGCAGTAAAGTCTTCCCCAGCCCCCATGTGCTGCAACTGCACCTCAGCTCCCACTTTCGCGAGAAGGACGGCGCTCGCTCCAAGTTGTCCCCCGACGGCTCGGTCCCCACCTGCATGCAGTGCAACAAGACCTTCTCCTGCATGTACACCCTTAAGCGCCACGAGCGCACGCACTCTGGCGAGAAGCCATATACCTGTGGCCAGTGTGGCAAGAGCTTCCAGTACTCTCATAACTTGAGTCGGCATGCTGTAGTTCACACACGTGAGAAGCCTCACGCTTGTAAGTGGTGCGAGCGGCGCTTCACCCAGTCTGGGGACCTCTACCGCCACATCAGGAAGTTTCACTGTGGCCTTGTCAAGACTCTCGCCATTGGATAAAACGCCTCTCACCAGTGCCAGGACATAAGACCGAATGTCTTTGCATACACTGAATACTACTACTGAACACTTTCCACATTAGTACACACATGTTGGGCAGTTTGTTGGAGACTCATCTCTTTGGATTCTACCCCACGTGGCATTTTCTCAAGTCAAAGTTGTAGCTACGTTTAAAACTGGAGCTGTTCTCTGCGCTGGACTGTGTCACAGGCAGAAAGGTGAAGGTGGATAAACATGGGTGCTGTGAAACCCAAGCTGGATCTGTGTCAACGAAGATGAACAAGTCGGATGATGCACTTGTTTGTTTCTGTCTCGTTTGTGTCAATCTGTCGAGTTTATTTGAAGAGTCTATTTGCTGAAAGAAAAAAAGCGTCCCGTGTTCATAATGGGTGATAGCTAATGCTAACATATGTTAATACAATCGTAAGATGTGAGTGAGATTTTTATTTGTGCACATGGGAGATCAGAACCGTCCTTAAGTAGCAATATATGATTTTTTTTTTTTAACTCCTACATTATTATTATTTATTTTTTGGTATTTGTCTAGTCCTTAACAAGTAAACTATCATAAGGCAGCAAAACTAATGAAGTTTGACTACTGGAAGTATAACTATTTTCTTTCATGGAAGTAGAATTTTTGTTTGGTTGAAATGAAGTTGGGTTCAGATTTATGTTTATAACAAGAGGCAAGCCGACCATCATATCACCATATTTCTTTTTTGTGCCTGGGGTTGAGCTACCAGCTCTTTAGTTGTTAATGTGAGTGAGCACATATCGATGGAATGGCCCTCTAATTTGCTACTTAAAAAATAAGTTCTATAATCATAGGAGGGCTGGAGAGTAGTTAAAAGCTAATGCCTGTAACACTGGTGCCTACTGAAATTCTTAACGCTTCACCTAGTGTACTTACTTAAACAAGAATGAGATATCACTATGCCTTCTTGTAAAAAAATAAATAAATAAAAAGAGGGAGTTTTCAGGCCTTTTAAAAGAATCTGGATTAAACTCCACATACCAGGTGGTAACAAAGGTAATTATCGACTCTGGAATTCACGAGTGTCCTTAATTGAATACTTTACAAGGATACAATTAAAGTACGTCCATCAATGTCTCATCAATTAAATGTTTCTTTACTCGTTTGGGTTGAAAGCAAATGGTTGGCAGTAAATTACATTGTTATTTCCTGGTATGGCGTAAAGGGTACACTGACTGACATGGTGTTGAGGGCACACCCTCAGCAGGGAGGGGGAGAGAGAGAGAGAGACGGGTGGATATTGTTCAGTACCTGGTTGGTCATCAAAGCTGTGCTCCACGTGCCACTCACTGACCTTTGAATTAACCTCGTCACATCATCATATCTTCTTACCGTACGTGTGTATATGTTACTACTGATGAAGCTGGAGCCTTTAGTGACGCTTGTCCTGGAAGGAAATGGATTTCGTCTGGCCGTGCACATATAGATGCTATCTGGATTCTTAGCAGAGGGTGTAGCACTAAAAGTTCATAATACTTGTCTAATCTGTCCTGAGAAGACTTGATCCGAATATATTTATTAGTTTGACTTGGTTCAGGGTTTACTGTAGGTGTACTACTTTATTTCTATAAGCTTGAAAGACGTTGCGTCTTGCCTAGCGATCTTGGTACTCATTAACAGGTGTTGGGGCTGTCTGTTCATTTTTTTCTCTGTGCAAATCGAGTTACTGTAATTGTATTTTAATATGCCATGTAGAAATCTCTGCGGAGCGTTCAAGGTTTGTCACATGGAGCATAGAGAGGCACTTGTTTTTTTTTTTTTAGCATGCATATAGTTTCAACACTATTGTCTAGGCTGCTATTTCTTACTATATGTATATTTAATGTAAATATATATTCTATTTATCAAACTGTTTTGTTGTTACAACACATGTAAGGCGGAGAGAGCCGGGTGTCTTATTAAGGCTGCAGTCTCTTAAAGTGTCACGTCTTCCCCAAGGGAGTTTGGTTCCTTCTCCATAGTCGAGACTTGATTGGACTCACTACAAATCAGAACAGTTAATAGGTCTCATGCTGCCGTTCTGCCACAGGAAACGGTTGTTCACAAGCACAGCCCCACCGGTTAGGGCATTGGTTAGTGGCTACCTATAGACAGGAGACAATACAGGCATTGTTTCCTCCCACACCACCAAATCCCAGGTAGTTCTCAAGGGATCATTGTGTACGTCTCTGCTAGCTGTGGGGAGAAAAAGGCAACGCAAGCCTCTCTTTGCACTTTTCTGTCTTGAATGGAGCCATTGGAATGTGAGAAATGTATTTAGCAAAGGGAGACCAAGGACACTGTAAACAGGTGTATTGTTTGGAGGCATCCAAGAACAGCCCCCCCCCTCCCAACATGCAGTAGATAAATGCTTCATTGTTCCTCGACATGAAGGAGACACCACGGTTATTTGATTGCACATCCATCAAGAGAATATCAGATTTATCACAGTATTGTTTTCCCAAGTACTAGATCTATAGAAAAACTGTTTGTGACTGTGACGATGCAGGTGAAATGTAGGTGTTGGCGCACCTGAAGCTGTTTCTCTTTTAGTTTGTTTTCCTTCATGTTGATCACCAAGACTTCTTTCAGGACACAGAAATGAATTCACACGTGATTTCTCAGCATTTTGCAAACGGTTTTGTCCGCATTTCTGACGGAGGAGCTCAAGTCAAGTGCGAGTCAAATCATTTCCCTCAGAATCACCGCAGTCTGTTTTCATCCTGCTCCCTGACCTGAAGTCAGCGATGGGTGCTTGAATGAATGAATGAATGAATGAATGAATGAATGAATGAATGAGGCTTGTGTGTAATTTTACAAGAAATGTGATATGGCTCCCTATAAACTTGCGCAAACCTTCCTGCCGTTCACATGCCCTGAGAGTTTCACTTTAGAACAATTTCAGATACATAGCTGTTGCATAGCGTTAATAATGTTGGTTTCAACCAGAACACACAGGAATGTAGATTTTTGTCTGTTTTTAAGGTACGTTTCTTATGATTGCTTGATTCTCCAATGTACGTGTGTACAGAGGTAGAAAAAACTAACTATGTGACGATTTTTTCTTTTTATTGTTTGCAGTCTTTATTTATACCTCCAGAATGATCACCAAACGTGCCTTGTAGACACACGAATAGGTGTTGCATCTGGAGAAGCCCGTTTTCTATACTGTACGTTTTTGCCCTCGACTGTGGCTGAAGTTCACATCGCAGCGACAGTAGCCGACTGAAGTGATTCACAACTGTTGTTCCTGTTTTCCCATCATGTCAAAAAATCAGACGAAATAAAGGTTTCAAGTCCATTTATTTTTTGCTGCTTTGCGAGAGATTACATTTGAGATTACTTTGACCATTTCTGTTTATGTGAATATATCCGTTTTCATGGTGTTAAACTGAAGACAAGCATTTATTTTTTTGTGATTTGGTTTTTAGTTGCCAACGCTACTGGGAGCTAACGGTCTGTTCCTTTAGTTAATGTCACTGTTGAATGTGAAACTGAGATTTTGATTGTTGGCTACTATGGAAACAGCGCTACTCTTGATTGAGGGCTATGTTTGCCTAACTCATGCTGTATGATCTTTAAGTCAAAAAAAAAAAAACGACTTTACTGGAATTGTGTCCTCTGCAGGTTACAACTGTGAAATTGTGTATAATCATGAGAAATATTTATTATTGCATTTGCTTCTTGTGCAACATTTGACTGTCTCAGTTTTAATTTGGTTTAAAAAAAAAAAAAAAAAAAAAAGCTTCTAAATGTTGAACGAGAAATCTTTTTAATAGAATTTGTAGAAGTGCCATTAGAATTTAATATAATTTTTTTTAATAATAAAGGTCTATTTTATAGTAATCAATTGCTTCAGTGTTAGTGGTGTAGAGATTAGAGGACAATCTTTATGCAGAATTGACATTGCTTAGATATTGAGGCAATTTACTTTTGATCTATAACTGTGCATTTTCTTTGTTTGTGCTTTTGGGGTGTGCTTGTGTGTGCGTGTGCTGTGGAAATGTGACAATCTTGATTTAGGTCTTTCTTAAGATTATGTGTAGAATTAAATGGAACAACTTTCTCTCTTTGTGTGGATTTTATTCATTTACAATACTTCTGTGCACTCACACCACTTTCCACACAGCAGTCAAAGTAAGTAAAGCAAGCTCTGATGCACTAACGACAAAGAACCTTGTAGAGGAGCCCTCGTCTGACAAGCAGCAACAGTCAGCCAGATAGTGATTGTGTGGGCAGCACTGCAGTGTGTACAGAGACAACAGAAAGTGATAATACTGCTGGTCTTACAGGCCCTATCCCTCTGAAACCATAAACTCAGCTCAAGGACGGAACAAATTTAAAATTGGGCTCCCATTGTCCCTGACCTGTTTCCAATACTCTCCAAAAAAGAAACCGCGGGTAACAAAGCCAGCTGACTTTGTTCTGTAATTATTGCTAAAACTTGATTATATCTGCCACACACACACACACATATATTTGTAAGTAAACAAACCAACCAAACATGTGTCAGCTTGAGAGCTTCATGCCAATTCACTGGACATTTACAATGGCGAGAACTTTTAATTATTTCCCCGCTGCACCATGAAAGAAATCCAGCTGCTCTGCTACGTGATCCCAATGGGGATGTGCTCGGGTTCCCACCGCCCCCCCCCCCCCAATCCCCGCTCACCCATTCTGGGAACGCCATACAGACGAGGGCCGCATCCAACTGCCCCTGCCCCCATCCATCCTATACCTCCACCCCCACAGACCCCAAAACCGCGGCCCCAAAACGCGGCCTCATCCCACCACTCTATTGTGTGCGTGGGTAGTCGCTCAGCCAGGCTATTGTCTGGCCCAGCTCCCCAGCACGTACTTTATGCACAAACAGACGACACAGTGGCGCTAGCCAGGCAGCTCCGACATAAAGAAAACAATGTCCTCCCAAGATCATTCATAAACACCCCGAACAGCCGCAGCCAGCTCACAGTAAATAAGGGCCCACTGCAACGCTGTGGCCACCTCGCACTGTAAACATCCACAGCAGCAGGCCTCGGAGCGCTCGCCGGCAACAACATCTCACATCTGCCTAACGGGATCGAGGGCTTAGACTGCCTGGTGTGTGTGCTTTTCTTATGGACCCAAACCTTCACATGGAAAGTAGGGGCCATGTGATCGGGCTTAGCTGCAGGGTGACGAGCTGGGATATGTGCAATGTAACTCGATGGTGTAATAAAACATTCCTCTCTCAGAGGCTCAAAGCCTGGCTGATTTGGGTGTGAGAGGTTTTGTGTGTGTGTGTGTGTGCGTGTGTGTTTGTGTGTGTTTAGAGGTACTTGAGAGAAGTTGAGAGGAAAGTTGTAAGTGTCCACCACCAAGGCCAGCGGTGGGAGCCCTTGACCTCTGAAGGGACGGACTGCCAGGGACAGCTGGTCTGGCCTGTTTTTATTTATTTATTTCTTAACAAAAGACAGGTGGTCACACTTGAAAAGGGCACACAAACACAGTCACACATGCACTTGTGTACAGACAATGCGCGCACACACACACACACACGTACATACGTGGGTAGTTTTCTTTTTCTCTCTGTATGAACACACATGCATATGGTTAACATCCACTTAATTTTGGAGGAGCAATTCTTTTGACTTTCAGAATATTAATTGAATTCCCAGTTAATAATATAATAAGTGTAACAAGTGACCATTATTTCCAACCTTTAAGGCTTCATCCACATTTGAAGCAGCATTTATGTTATCAGCCACCACCTAAAGCTACGATCTGAACTGTTTATATAGCACACATCAATTGCTACAAGTGCATAAATACATATCAACTAGTGCTCTCACACTGGGTTCGCCTTTTTTGGAGTGGCTCGCCCCGACAGCGCCAAGACAGTGTGTCCTTGGTCCACTGTACAGCTGTCACTTACTCGCACTCGTTGACGCATATTTATAGCAGCAGCATCACTGGGCTTGACGCTCGCCGCACTCAGACCACAGCTGGTCCCCACAAGAATGGGTGAAAGACAAAGCCACGTGCTCCCGCTGGCCGACTGCAGTTGGTCCTGTCTGGAGCGCCGTGGGTGATTATGTGGCCCCCTTCTCCTTGCAGACACCCAGTCCATACATGCACCAGGGAGGAGATGATGAGGATCCGTGCAGGCAGGGAGGGAGGGAGGGAAGGGGGCACACTGTGACCTTTTTCTTCTTCTTCTTTGAATGTCACGGATGGGGATGTGCTGAAAACCTTGACAGCTGCACTTGAAGGTACAGAAACACATCATTATGGAGTCAACAGAGAGCAGTGGGGAGAAGGGGACTACGCATCAGCATCCTTCTCTCCAACAAGATAAAAATGAATATAGTAAATGTTTTGGACAGACAGACGAGTCGTGCCCAAACCACTGTATTATTTTGATACAACACAGTAGAGACCTACAGTATATCACCAATGTTATTAGTATTGAGGCAACAGCTGAGGGAATAGTGAATGAATCATGAGATTGTGTTCTTTGCAGACACCCCTCCACTGTCGTGTGTTACATCACTTCCTTTCTTCTAGGTTACTCAGCGTACAAAAGGGAGATTGATGCAATGATGCATCACAGGAAATTGGCTCAAACAGCTGGGTAATGAAGCTACTTTTAGACCGGGCTTTGGATACTTTTGGGTCACTTTGACTCATTGCTAACTCAGCTGGTTAAGACAAACTCATTGCCGATTTGATTTTAAATAAAAAGTTAAACTCATATTTAAGAAGCAGGAAATTGCAAATATGTTGAGAATTGACTTTACTTAAACCCTTAATTTTGCCAATTGATGACAAAAAAATTGATTTTTGAATTATTACTATTAACTGGCTCAGAACACTCCCTCTAGCTTCAGAGTTATGGACATGGTTGATTTTCACGAGTCAAGGATTTTTTTATCTTTAATAAAATCATAAAAAATATATATAAATGTAATTAATGTCCACCTCAGACTTCCTTAAAGCCTTATCAAGAAATGTGCAGACAACTTGACGCCTTTCCTGCCAGCAGCTGTCTGTTCATTCAGCCGGAAATCAAGCGGTGCCCTCGAACACCAACTGCAGAGCTCCCCAAAGACCGGAGCCACAACTGGCCTGCTGAGCAGGGGGATGTGACTCAACAGCTCCGAGGCACACTTGCAATGAGTTCCAGGAAGTGCACTCATCCAAGCCAATATCCCAACACCATCTCACGTGATTGATTTCTATAGAGGCGGTGTTCAGGACTTCTGCCACCAAGAACAATTACTCAGTGTATAATGCCTGACCCTGAAACCAGTCATCATCAGTGACGAGCCTCAGCCAAGAGAAAGTGATGACTGCGCTGCAAGGTCATGTCCAGGAGGAATAATTGCAGCCAAACGGTCTGCAGCAAAGCCCTGGTTCTGCTCAACCTCTGGGTCTTCTTGTTTCAATAAATATATTTGATAGCAGATCCTCAAGGTCAGTCCAGAGAGGCTGGATTGGAATTGTGTTTTCATTGCCAATACAAAACTTCCATATTTCAGCTACAAGGCTGAAAATGTGCTTCTTTAGCATACGGAGACAAATGTGTTCCTCCAGCGAGGACGCAGAGTACGATGCTGAACGTGGCCCAGTCTGAAAGGAACTCTCACAGCAGAGACCTTGAACTGTGCTGCCACCTGCTGATGCATCTACAACGCATGAAGACAGTTAGCAAACCTTTTAGCTAATTGGCCGATTTCTGTTCAGACAATCCAATTTCGATTCCTGCATTATTCAACAGCCTATTATTCATTTATTCAACCATTACTCTGCCCCTTTAATTAATCAAAATACATACTGTGACTGTATTAAAGATGCACTGAATGGATGACAACATTCAACTGTATATAAAAGCGTTGAAGTTTATTTCAGTTACTTTAGGAATGCAACACACACACACAAATTACATTTAAAAAAAAATAAATAAAAAAAAATAAAAAAATCACAGGTATAAAATGCAGTCTTAGAAATATCATGCGAGGCAACTATTATGTTGAAGCATAAACTCCTGATGCCTCCGTTGGTCCTCCTTTACGTCGAGCAACTGCAGCACAGTACTTCATCGTATTGCCCGCTGTAACTGTGGAACACAAAAAAAAAAATATGACATTAAATTAGTTAATTTTTTTTTTAATCAAAAATTCACATTTGTCTCATTCTACACACACGTTGTGAGGTCTAGTTTCAGACTTTTATAAAATAAATTTATTAAAAAGGCATAAGGTGGAAAGGAGGACCCGGATGTTGAACCACCAACTCTGAATAACGGCAGAGCTGCTCTACCACCTGAGCTACGGCCGCAAAATATGATATGAACCATTTATTTTGTACCAATGGAAAACTTTGGGCCTATATTTTAAGCAATGCCGTTGGATCCTGCTCAGCCAACATGAGTCACTGATATATAAAATGATCTTTAACAGATTGCTCCTCTGCTAAAATAGCTCTTGTACCGAGGCCCCCCACCAAAAGTTCTAAGAGTTATTTTAAGCATCAAATTTGCAAACTCACCATGTTGGCTTGTAAGGTGGCTGTAAAAGTGCATAGTTTGTTTCTTCAGACTCAAAAGGTGAATAAGCAACCGCTTTCCTTCCTTCCTCTGTTGTCTTAACATTCAGCGAAACTCCTTTCAGAGCTCTGCTCTTACCGGCCAAAACTGATTAGAACCCAACAAGGGTCAGGGTTGTGTTGGGTCATGGTTTTGGCCCATCTACGAGTTATTCAGGCATCTCATTGTTGTCAAATACAATACATTTACAGGACTTTGTCGGTCCAGTGACATTGATGCACACAACCCTTCAGTACTGCAGTCTGAGGAATGTCTTTCACAGGACAGATGAGAAACAGCTGCACCCCACGCCTCATAAACATGTCTTTAAAGCCGAGGTAATTGATTAACCTCGGTGTGAATAGTCTCTGTTTTTAAAGGATCTTTGAAGCTGGGACAAGAAAACAAACAAACACTGCAGCTGGATTGCAGCTAGGGATGCCCTGAAATGTCTAAGGCAAATATTTTCCTGTCTACATGAGACAATGGCGACGTTGCATTTTAATGAACCATAACACAAAAGTCCTTTGGGAAGCTGAGTGAAAAGAAACCTACTCTATGATGGTGCAGACGGAGCAGCAGAGGCTGGAGCAGCAGGAGCACTGACGTGTGCAGGAGGGACAGGCTAGGCGGTCGCATTGGGAGCATGGCGTCCTGCAGCCCTGGCTTTTCTGACACACACAGCAACATGTGAGAGCCACTGGTGAACCTAGACACGCAAAAAACACAAAAAAGTAACCAAAATGAGCATCCAAATCTGTGACACAACCCTGACATCTGCTGGTGAAAAGCATGAACTGATTTAACCGTAACCTTTTTAGCCTTCGAGTCAGATAACTTTTTTTTTGCCTTCTTGCTCATTTAAAAATAAGCTTTGACATCAAATAAAACATATGTGCTTTGCAGCCCTCATTACCCAATGACAGAAACGCGTAACCCAGTCAAATAACAAAATTAATTTAACTTTGGTGGTGTGGAGAAAAGAGTAGAGGCCTTTTCTGCTTGCCTTGCTACTTGATGCGTGTATAATTACTCTCCCTCCATCTTTTTTACACAGAAAAACAACTGGGATCGCCAACAACTTTTCCAATACGAGTATCGTATTAAGATCAATCCCATGTTTTTCATTATGCATTAGTAGACCTGTACTGTAAACTCAGGTGTAAGAATATTTGTCCTCTTTGGGATTTCCATTTTGTCAGCAAGTTTACTTTACATGGCTGACCATTTCTATAGTTAAAGCTCATGAGGCCTGCTGAATGCATCCTCAGTTTTGGACTTCGTGAGGTCTTGTTAAGGGAGGAGCAGGTTCAGGGAGAGCTAACAGGTGCTCCAAACAATGCACGATCATCAGTTGCATCAGCATGCTTTGGAGGACCAAGCTAGTACTATTGAAGGTTTCATGTCAGTGACTACCGTCTGCTCCGTCATAGACTGTGGAACAGGCCCGAGCCTGTCTACCCGATACATTTTCTGTGTGTATAACGAGGAGGGAGCAACAACTACATTTCATTGTGCAATCCTGCATTGTACATGACAAGAACAAATCCTTGAAATAGAGATGAATTGTAGGCCGACTACTGTCTGATTGTTGACACACATGCATAGCCAAAGGTGAGAAACATGATAAGATCCTGTTATTTGACACATCAGAATAGATCATCTTTCAGTGTTGTCATTGCTGGGTGTGACAGCATATTTTGCTCTAAATACATCTGGAGTGTAGCCATCCTTACCCTGCTCGTCAGTTTAGCCTCACCTTGTCCAGCGTTTGCTCTCTTCAGTCTCCCATCGTGTCCGATCAATGTCTGTCCTCTCAGCAGAGACTGGCTGCATGCACGAGTGTCCGCTTGTCCAGTGGACCTCTCCTCTCCGGTCCATAGTGTGCCCATCACAGCCTTGGCACCGCTGAAGAGCAAGTTCTTCGTCTTTGCTGTGAAACAAGGAACCCACGCTTAGGTAATATGACACGTGACCGCCCAAGAAGCTGATGTTTACGGCACATTAAAGCCGGTCGGACTGTATTGTGGTAGTTCAGTGGCCAGCTGGAAGTAGCGGCCACTAAACCATGACTATCTTATTTACGTTACTCACCGGAATGTGTTTAATGTCAACAGGCCCAACTAATGCGATCACATGACATGAAAAAGCCTAGTCCTTACAGGACCATGAACACTTGCACAAAAAGTGGCCACATTGACTGTTTTATAGTTGTATATAACGTTAGGCGACTCCTGCTACGCATACAGCAAACTCAATGTGCGCAACGACGAAGCTAGCACGAGCTAACAGCCACTCACCGTATATTTCTTGCCTGTATTTGTTCCCAAATACGCCATAATTATTCAGCTCCTGTTGTCCGACGTGTATTTTGTATTGAGAGGAGAAGGTTTCCGGAAAAGGACAAGCTCGTTTCGGCATTTTCTCTGCAAATAACGTGCTACTACTGACTTCCACACTTGTTTGTTGCGGGAAAACTGCAACGGAGACGGCAACGAACCAATCACACACATCCTTTATGGTCACATGAAAGCTACGAGCCAATCCGATAACGATTCTTCTGTCACGTGATGTTTTGCTCTCTATCCACGAAGTGCTGCCTTCATGGGCGGCCACGAATTTTGTAATTTATCTTTTTCAATTCCAGAAATGAAAAGCTGGAGATCGGTGGAGTAAACGGGCACAGCATGATTACAACCCAGGACAGACAGTAATTAAAAGTCTGAAAGAATGCGTGCTACTCTTTTCCTCATACTGAAAGTAATGATCTTAAAGTAATGATCAACACTGTCCCAGCTGTGCATGGTTTTACTGGGCTATTGCATCAACTGATCACGTTTGCCATGAATCAATTAATTAACATTTGTGCAGGTTTAATTGGCGATACGACCCATATGACTACAAATAAAATCTGATACATTTTATAGTAAAATAACAAGACTATTTGATTGTAACTAAACAAACATAGCCAGCACTGCTCAGAGGTAACATGTTTTGTTTATTAACCAATGAGGAGAAAATCAGTTCAGATGATGCAAAGATGCCACATCATCTGTGCTCCTGTCAAGGGGAGCTAAAGGTTTCCCTTTAGAACATCTGGATCATGCACTCCCTGGACTTTCCAACACCAACCCACTTGACTAAAAGAGACAGAGAAACAGAGAGAAAGATTAGAAAAGTTGAAAAAACTGTCGAAGTCATAACAAACCATATTGCTATTTTTGATAAGTGTAACAGTGCCATCTAGAGGATATCATGCAGTTTCTGCATTTCTTCTCTATTTTGATGTGGAGGCCTTCATGGGAAGTTGCTGTATTTTCTATTTGTTTGTGTGCTCTGCAAAGTAAAACTTGAAATATGTAAGTTTGTTATTTTGTGTCAAACGTACTGGGAACTCCAATGTGGTTCTCAATGAAGTGGATGTAGTTTTGTGCCTTGGCTGGGAGGTCGTTCCACTTCCTGGCTGCAGACGTGTCCGTCTTCCAACCGGGGAAGGTCTCGTACTCAACCTCCACTTTGTGCAAAACGTCCATGTTGGCTATTATTGAAAGCAATACATGATTACCAATCTTTAAATGAAAGCAGAATGGGTTGATGATATTTATTCTACATATGGTTTCTTCTGTTAAATTACCTGGGAAATGTGGAATTCTTTTTCCATTGACTTTGTAGGCGACTCCGACTTTAATTTCATCCACCACATCCAGAATGTCAAGTTTTGTCAAAGCAATGCTGTTGGACGGGTAACATGTCATAGGAGAACTGTTTAACGTGTGCCATTAGTCATTAGTATAATGGGATTTTACGACGGTGCAGAAAAAAATGAAGGCTTCCTTCACTATTGAAATGATCACGAAACACCGGATGATTTGCTTAAACTGTTCCAGCCACTCACCTGGTGAATCCATTAATCATATGAGCATATCTCACGATGACAAGATCCAACCATCCGCAACGCCGCTTCCTTCCTGTGGTTACACCCACCTCATGACCCCTCGTCTGCAGCAGCTCTCCTATTGCCTACGGTAAACAGGGGGCACAACAGCCCTATTTGTTACTTTATTATTCATGAACTTAAACGATGTTAGGCATTTCATAATTCTACAGAAACCTAAAAATGTGCAATCACTACACTAGTTACAAACACAGCTGAGTACAATAAAACACCATATGGGCTGGGGGGGATTAAGTTTAGTTTTTTTTTAAGTATGTATTTTCAGCTCCCGTGACAGGTAACATAACCCAGCTACCACAGTAAATATATCCTGAACCCGGACTCTCGAGCTAAATTTATCCCTGTGAACATGTGACCTGTATAAGAGGTAAAGAGCGTTTGAACCCGTGTCTCACAAATTTTGACAGCTGCACTCAGCCAGAGAACTTCACCCCCCCCCCCCCCCTCCCTCCACCAGCCCTGCTGCCACATGATCACATTCAAACTGTACATGTCAAGCTCAATATCAGTGAGTTACATTACATGTCATGTGTCTCTTCTTCAGACAAATACGAAGGCCGTGAAAGCAAGCACATGTGACAAGGTGCCAGTAATCTCAGATTTCCTTCGCTAACATCAAGGTCTTACGTTGAGTTGTTCTGTGGGGAAGGCTCCGATTCCCACTCTGGTAGTGTAGGCCTTTGATACTCCAAAAACATCGCCGATATTCAGCGGAGGGATGCCAAGACCAGTGCACGCCCCGCCCACAGTGCAGTTTGACGATGTTACAAAAGGGTATGTGCCTTTAGAGAAAAAATGTATTGGGTTATGACTCCCTCCCAGATCAACAAAAAAAAAACACATATGCATTTAATAAAAACTACAAATATTGTAAATCAAAATACCAAAGTCAATGTCAAGGAGAGCAGCATTGGCCCCTTCCACCAAAATTTTCTTTGGAGATCCATGAAGAGCTTCATACATGTAATAGACCCCGTCTCTCACCATCGGCCGCAATCTCTCAGAGTATTCCTGCACAAAACAAGGAAAACAAAAACATGATTAGTTAATGTTGGGATTGACCCTAATTCATCACTTTCGTAATAGTCGGTTTACCTTGAGTTTTTTCAATTGGTCCTCAACGTCAACTGTTAAGGCTGGGTACATGGCCTGATACTGGCGGACAAGATTCTTGAATCTGAAAGAAAAGGAAATCGCGAATCAGGCCGCAACTGTTCATCGCAGTATTAGTCTTGGCGTTTGGCATATCAATGTTATGTTATCCCTACCTCATAGAGAAGTCCTTAAAGTCACCCAGGAGGTCACATACACGTAGGCCGGTGCGAGCTGCTTTGCTGGAGTATGCGGGTCCAATGCCTTTCTTGGTTGTTCCAATGCTGAAACACAAGCCAAAGAGAGGGATGTAAAACAATGTATGGAATCAAAGTAGATTTGTGCTGACTAGAGTGTAAAATACTGGCAGGTCTGTCCTCCGCTATCCTTACTTCTTTCCTTCTTGTGCTTGCCTCTCAGTCTCCTGTAAACCATCGACTACCTGGTGGAAATCAAACACTGCGGAGAGACAGCAAACAAAACCTCACACCCTTAAAAATGGATCGATTGATTGATGATTTATTCAGGCTGTACTTATTTGAATAAAGTAAACCACTCTAAGCAATATCATACAATGTACATACCAAGGTGAGCTCTGTCTGAGACAATTAGTCTCTTCTCCCAGCCTTTCAGACCTGGTCAAAGAATAGAAAGGACATCTATGCGAGTATACACTAATCCTAATCCTAATTTACACTTGTGCATTATGTGTAAAGGGCATTCTTTCTCTTCAAATACCTTTCTTTTCATTTTTATCGCCTTCTTCAAACAGGCCAGGTAGATGTATGACCACTCCATTGCCTACAAGAGCAGAGGAAGAGGAATATGTAACTGCACTAATATTCTTAACCATGCTGTCTCAACACAGCTGAATATTTAAGCCATTACCGATGAGGGAGATGCTCTTGGAGTTGATGATTCCACTGGGGAGAAGGTGGAAGTCATACTCCTTGCCGTCCACTACCACCGTGTGTCCTGCGTTGTTGCCCCCCTGTAAATCCAAGCAGGGCACATATTGTGATGTGATAGTTTACACTGTCTTGTTTTAATGACAATATTATGATCAAATACGGTATGACGTTAACACCCAAGACCACCCAAAAAAACATCCAGCCACATGCACATGTCTCATATTTTCGAGAGACGGTGATAATTCACTGAGCTTCTCCAACACCTATTTTAACAGACTTGGCTGGTGCTGGTGGATCCACCACTCTGTCTGGCCTGGCTAAGTCCTGGCCTTCTCACATATCAAGCCTCTCTGAGAATGTGACCTCTCTCTAGCCCGGTGGGTGGGGCTCTCAAGCCTCCAGAACACAGGGTGCTAGACATGTCAGCGGAGAGAGTACAACACAGCAACTGTTGGAAGGTTTCACTGTGTGACTCCGTTGCTGGAGTGACCTGTGATATCTGACCAGAGGGTTGATCTTTGTGATCAGCTGAATGAGTCAGGTTTAGAGGTGAATGCAAGAATTAAGAGAATAGTCAGGCTAGCAAATTGTACTTGCCTGTTCCTAAAATGATCAGTAAAGACATTTGGAGTCTGTAAAATGATTTGATGGCCACAATTCTCCCATTCCATCACTTAAACCCTTAAGTGCAGTTATGAAACCACAGTGCATTCTCAACACGGTTCACTGTAATAGACAAAAAAGCTCTAACAAAAGTGTTTTCACTCTGAGCACCTGTTGCGTTTTAACAGGCTGCACAGTTTGTGCCAGATTTCATAATTAACTCGGAGAAAAAAAACGGCATTCAGCAATATTAGCAAGACACGGCCCTGTAAATGCTCGTCTGAAATCACGAATCCAAAAACATCTACCTGACATCTGCAGACAACGTCAGCGTCCGTCGCCAACAAATCGACGACTTTCCCTTTGCCCTCGTCTCCCCATTGCGCGCCGAGCACCACCGCCACTTTGTTCCCAATGTCGTTGCGCGATCGCTTCTGTCCGGTCGCGGCGGGTTGAGTCATGCTTTTGTGGTCTTTCGCAGACCAGGTGAGCGACATGATTGTGGTGGCTTGAGCCTGCTGGTCTCAAGAAGACTAAGCCGTCTCCCAGAGTGGCATTGCCATATCTGTAACTTCATAGCCGATGATGTCAGAGCCAGACGCACAAGTGCGTAGCTGTGTTCGGGCAACTTGTCTCCAGGGCTGTTAGAGAAACTAGAAAATAGCCTTTACGCAGCACTCACTGGGATGATTGACGTTAGATTCACCACGTCAAAGCCCTTCATAACATATTGTATGTAGCCTGCATAATAGAGCTTTTCAAATGTACGTTTGCGCCATCTGCGTGAGTTGGTTGATTAAAAACAAACAGCTGAACACTAAATTCACTTTTATTAAAATATTTTTAACATTACAATCCGTTAAATGCTTTTCTTATATTTCCCTGTTACAGATCACCTGGGTAATATATAAAGAAATAAACAGCAGTTTTGTTTTGAGTTAATTAAATATCTTCCACCACAGCACTGCATCTTCCATTCTGTTGGTGCTGAAAGTTAAATAGAGCATATAGCAAAAACACATTCACTGCATATTACAACAGTTATACAAAACAAAGCATATTAAACTTTTTTTTTTTTTTTTGGAATAGTTCTGAATCCAAAACTAATCATATACACAAACAACAAATTTACATAAAGTGACATGTTGACATCCATACAGCCTTGGATGTGTTGACTCTTCTTGGTCTTGAAAAACAAATCATTTCAAAAGGAAGACTTCTGCATCCTCTTGAAGGAGTCAATGCTCATTTAGTCTCACAAAATAAACGGCAGTCCTTCTGGTTCTCTCCTGTAAAATTAACATTTTCTTTTTCCTCTTGATTTCCTTTTTCTGGAGTCACCTACGGAAACAAAGACTAAAATGAATAGTTCGTTAAAAAAACCCAAATCCAAATAAAATATTTGAATACCTTCTAAAGTTTATATATTTACATGGGGATACAACTATTTGCTCAATAGCACTTCACATTGTGAAATCTAGTCTCATGATTTTTTTGGCTTGCAAGCATGACTAGATCGGCTTTAAAATGTAAAAGTTTTTTTTGTGGTGAAAACATTTTTAATGCATTTACATCACATACAGCATCTTTCATGAAAATCAGATTAAAGCACAGTTTACAGGAAGCACACAAGACTGCATTAGTAGGTTTGAACAGTCCCAGTTGAAGGCTTGGGTAATGGACAAAGAAATATGGAAGGAAAGACACAAAAGTGGTGGCTTTCATGAAATAACTCAGTCCATGATGACGTCACAGTGACTCCACAAACTGCAACCACTGATTATTAATTGCTGTACATGTAGGGTTAGTTTTCCCAGGTTTGACGGACATTCAAATTACCGCAAGACACATTTGCGTTTTGGTCAGTGGTGTTAAGATTTAGGCCGGATAACAGAATTGGAAAAAGTTTTAAAGAGAGCACGAGTGTTAAAAGCTGGACAACAGAGACAAATGAAATCCAGAATTCAACCAGTTAGACCAACAAATGACGTGCTACTTGGGACAAAGCGTCGACGGTGATTGAGTTCATTAGGATGATGTTCCTGCTTACAGTTTGCCATCCCATTGATTCGACCTACCTCACTGCAACACACAGTCTTTTTTATGTTTAGTGTGTCCGTTCCCACTGTCACCTTGTGTTTCAGAGAGTCAGAACGAGAACAGAGCATTCAAACAAACTGTCCACAGATTCAAATTCAGTCAATATTAAAATCAGCAAATCACAATGTACACACTGCATCCATACTCTTAAATAAAATACATCCATACTCTTAATTAAAATGCATGTTGTCAAGCAAAACACTTATGAATATACACTACAATAGCGCAGACATTAAATATAAACTGCAGTAAAAAAACAAAACTACCAAGGATTTCCATTTAAGACACAAGCGACTAGCATTCCAAACATGATCTTTATTTAAGTTAATGGTTAGGTTACCTTGAGTACTCTTCTTTTTGTTTCGTTTGAAGATGCTCTTCTGTGTCTTTGGTTCGTGCTCAAGGGATGGAGGCACTGCTTCAGACACTGATGGCAGATCTGCCGATTCCAGTCCATCTGGGACATCGCACCCCTCGATGCCCTCACTGAGTGTAGTGACGGAGGATTTAACAAGAACGCATTTCCACTCGTCTCGACCCTTTTCTTGTTCAACAGTCTCTGCTAAACGGATTATTTTATCACTAGTTTGGCCTTTCCCATCTCCCATTAATGTGCTTTCACTGCTCCGTGTCACATTGTCCGTATTAGGTGAAAGACTTTCCTTTATCTGAACATGAACGCTACTGTCCGCTGGCTCCTCAGGCATCAGCTTCTCAGATACCATGCTGGAAGTGCCATCGAACACACCTTCTAGGTCGAAATCTGAGAGGGAAGATGGGCTGAGGACACTCGTCTCAGTTGAATCCATTGAAAAGCCATTTGTGGGGAGGCATGGCTGATGTTCCGCTTCAACCCGAGGCTCAGGTTGTCTCGCTCCTGGCACTAGAGGCTTCTCTGGGTGTTGCCCCTCCTGCAGCGAAGCAGGTTTTTCGAGAGGTGCCTGCATCGTCGTCGTGGCTGGTTCTCCTGGGAGTGACTTGGGAGTTAGAGCTGCTCCGTCCTGCACTGCTCTCTGCGGTGCTGGCGGAGTATCTTCTGATGGGCTGATGAAGCCGTTCATTTCTCCTGTGCTGGCCTGCTGGTGACCCTCTGTCTGAGGTTTGGTGGGAGATGAAACGGCGGCTAATTCTCCGGCTTTTTCGTTTGCAGACTTGACACTTGATCCTGAGGGTGAGAAGTAGGTATAGTGTTGATGGTAAGACCATTATTATCTTTGAAACGGATTGATATTTTACAGCGAGCCAAGCTGCATTAAAAGAAAATGCTCTCTATGCAAACACATGCTAATATAGCTTGTCAAAGCAACTAAGCGATGCAGCTAGCTTAAGGTGGCAGTGGTGTTTATGCACAAATAAAATAGATAAAGCAGCAAAGCTGTGTTGCAGTTAAGTGGCTCAGGAGCGGAGCTAGGAACTGCGGCTGGAGGCCACAGTTTCTTGTCCTTACCAGATGGGCAGGTATCCCTACGCTTTGCACTAGAAGGGAGGCTTTCCGAATCGCACCTTGGCCTGGTCTTTCTGAGGCTGAAACCTTTCCGGATATCCGCCAAGAGGTGGTCGATGATGCAGTCGTCGTCCTGTGGAACAAAGCCTTTCTTGACTGGTAACGGAGAGGTAAAAAGAGGGGTTAAAACACACGCCATTCAAATGACATCTTAGTTAGGAATTTCTAGGGCACAGTAAACAAAAGGAGGGCTTTTCACAACTTACTTATCTTTCCATTCTCTCCCTTCTGTCTCTTGGACTCTTCCTCTGCCAGCTGCCTCTTCCTCTTCTCAGCCTTGGCTGCCAGCTCTCTTCTAGTTATGTTTTCCTATTATCATAAAAGTAAAGATGTCACAGGCAAGTACAAAATGTACGTGCCGATTTGTTTTTGTATCATTTCGGAAGAGATATAGCAACATCTTCCTTTTGAAAATACACACTTGAAAATACACACTATATACATGCACACACACACATTCACAAATGGCACAGCATGCATGTTGTTCTGAAGTTGTAAGTTTAAAACTGCACAACATAAAGACAGTTATGATACGACTTTCCCTGTGATAGTGTATAAAATACTATGAATGCACAAACGTAAACAAAGTATCCTCCCCGACCTTGAGTGCCTTGAGGAAAAATCCTCGGAAAGTCCTGATGGTTCCGAAGAGTTCCTCAAGCGACAGCTGATTGACATCTTCACACAAGTAAACTGCCAGCTCACTCTTCTTCTCCTCTACTGCAGTCAGCCTTTCACCTAAAGCCTGACATGCCACCAGACTTTCCTGCAGCAGAGTAAAAGGAGGGATTTGGATTATTGAGTTATCACACATTGGCTCCATTTGTAGGCAAAGCAGAGACTATCGCGTTACCTCAATAACTTTTTCATATTGCTCCTTCACGTCTTCGACAGAGCCGGAGACCTTCTTGGCCGCCTCATTCAGTCGTTTTAGTAAGGCACTGGTTTCTGACTGAAGAGAGTCCACATTAACTCTGAGGACAAAGTGTAAAACAATTTCTTATAAGATTGCTTCTCTGTGGATTTGTAACAATGAAAAAAAAAAAAATAAATAAAAAATGAAACACATGAGCAAAAGTAGATGTGAAAGGTTTCTATACCCTGCTGCTTTTTCACAGATCTCTATATCATCTGGCAGCGCCAACAGCTCTGGGTGGCTCACGTCTGCTTCCTTTGCAAAACAAGTCACGCAGTGGGTAGTTAAGTAATTAAACAGGTTCATAACAGAGAGAGGGGAAAAAAAAAAAAAAAAGTTATGGCTGCTGTGAGCCACTTTGTGTACCTCCAGGATGTGATGAAGCAGCGTGATGCGGCTCTTGTTGGCTTTAGTCTCTGTGAGCTTGAGAAGAGAGCTGATCTTGAACCCCTCGGCGTTCCCTGTGTGACTTCCCTAGAAGTAGACCGGTGATTCAAAATGCAAGCTCTGTCTAAATGTCAGCTTAAAGTAAAATATACATGATAGAACAGGTTCTTACATAGTTGAGAAAATTCCCAACGTTAAGGATGAGCCTGCAGAAAATGGGCATGAGCGTGCTCGTCCTGAGAGCTGAGAGATTTGTTACATGACGTTAATTTGTTTGATAGAGAGATAGAGATATATAGAAAGAATGACAACTGCGTGCATACGAATATAGCTGAAAGCCTAGGGTTTCCTTACACTGGCAGGCCTCCTCCACCAGCTTGACTTTAGGTTTGAGCATATCCAACACTGATGAAGTCTCCTCGCACAGCAACATGCAGTCAATCCTCAACTGATAACTGGAGAAACAAGCCAGAAAGCAAAGTAAATAAGAAGGCCAGTATGAGCGTATAAAATACGCAGCAAGCACATAAACAGTGAAAAACAGAATTGGAGTAAAAATAAATACATAATTAAATAAAAATATTACCATTGCACAGTGAGAAGGGAGGTGTAGAAGCGGTCAACATTTGCCAACTTTTCTTTCTCTCCTTGGAAGGACTTCAAATTTTCAATCTACGTGAAAGCACCAGACAGTGACTCAGACATTCGCCATTTCAAAGTGTGCCCTTAATGGTAGGTACATGGGCAAAGAAAACTCCCTAGGTAAGGATGGAGAATAGTTAGAGTACAAACCTCGTGCTTCTCTGGTAGGAGCTTAATGAGCTGCTTTAGCACCTCTACGTCCAACCTAGTACGGTCCCCAGTCTGAATCATGGCTACAAAGTCCTCATTTTTGCTGGAAAGAGAAAAATGAAATGAATGGACAAAACGTATATGAAAAGAAAAATCAAATAATGTGCGACCTCTTACCATTTGAACTGCTTTAAGAATATGTTCAAATTCAAGTTTTTCTTTGGATCAATGAATGTTATCTATAGAATAAAAAGAGCCGTTAAGAGAGGCATACTGATGACTCAGCTTTGATAATCAGATGCGTTTGTTCCGAGTACTACAGCGCTGAGGAGCAGCATCGAGTGTTGACCAAGCACACCTCTTTAGGCTCCTTCTTGACAGGAGCAGCTGCCCCCTTGTCTTTGTCCTCGGTCACCGGGAAACTGAACAGCTGCTCGATGCTGCTGTAGTCCAGCTCCCGAGGAGGAGGCTCTGTCTGAACCGAGGACCACATGGAGTGACCATCTGTGTGAGCGCAGGAAGAGAGGAACCCGTCAGGAACTCATGTGGCTCCATTTTGTGTCAACATCCTGCCATGGCTGAAATTCATTTTTACAGGTTTTTCAAAACTCTGGTTAATCTTCCGCAACACCCACCCAAATTTGGAAGAATGGTTCTGGTCATATTAATGTTCCATCCCCATCAACTATCTCTACACAGAGGCCTTCTGCCAATGTCTTCACTCACATTTCCCATAATAATGTTCTATTTCAGAAATGGCCTGAAGAGGTGAATGATATCTTGATGGATAGAGGCACAAAAGTGATTTAGCATGTTGATTCTCTTCAAATTAGACTCAGCCAGGGTTTACTGCCGTTATACATAAATGACAGATTGCAGTTGTGAAGTTGCAGTTAAAGAATGATTAATCCACTCACCAGTAACAGTGCGGAGTTTCTGCCAGTTGAGCTTTTTCATCCTCAGGGTGGGGCATCGGCTTGCCTTTGTGGGTGCAGCGTACCCGAGAGCCTGGCTACTCTGAGCCCCTATCATGCCTGGGGGAGGAGGAGGTGGAGCTGGCATGCCAGGTAAGGGAGGTGGTGGCGGTGGTCCACCACCCATCCCCGCTAGGGGCGGCGGAGGTGGTGGGGGTGGCATGCCTGGACCGCCGAATAGTGGTGGTGGTGGTGGTGGTATTCCGGGCAAGGGGGGAGGTGGTGGTGGTGCACCAAACCCTCCAGGTAGCGGAGGTGGTGGAGGCGGAGGTGGAGGTGGGCACTGATTAGAAGGTTGGAGCAGGAGCCCCATCATACCAGGGGGTAGAGGAGGAGGAGGTGGAGGGGAGGCACACAGTGGCTTCTGAGAGGATGTGGTGCTTTGGTCCGACTTCTCTTCATCCTGATGATGCAGATCGGTCTGCATGGCCCTATCCACTCTCACAAGCTGCCTGTCCACTTCATGATGACCTTCACAGCTCTTGCCTTTGGAGGATATCAGCCGCTGCATGATATTCTCACAGGACTCCATCTGAGCTGAAGCACAAATCCAAACAAACATCAACCCCATTTGACACTCCTCTCACTAAAACAAAAGCTTCAGCCATCCTGTCAACAGCTGCCTCCACTTCATTGCGACGATAGTTTTTCCTGGATAATCACGCCCCTTCACACATGAATCACAGAGGAGGCTTTTAGCTACCCATTAGCTTCTCCGGAGACTTGACCTAAAGTGAATGTATTGCTGCCTCAGTGCTGACTCACAGTCCTGGGCCAGCAGTGTGGCTCTGTTAGTGATGGCCTCCAGAGCCAGCCAGATATCAGAGCGGCCCGGCTCCAGCACCAACAACGTCTGCAGGATGGACAGCAGCTGGAGAGAGGCTGGAGAGCTGCTCACCTGCACACAAATATGCACAAACTAAGTGGGTTTGTCACATTTGCATACCCAAGTCTAATAAGCCAGCACCACAACAACTTAAAACTGTTCTAATCAGAGAGACGACAAGAGGACTTTTCTTTACCATAACAAAACATTCCGTCTCCCATTCATTGGACTATCTTAGTTCTTACAGGTTGATGATGAAGCCAAACAGTCAGCTCTCACACCTTGTTAAAGAGTGTATTGAAAACCTCCAGGTGATCACTCATGTCAATGCCCCCATAGACCCGCAGCAGCTCCTCCTCATCTTCAGCCATTGCCTCTTCAAAAGCTTCACACTGAATAATCAAGTCTTCATCCTCCTGCTCCCTGCACACAACACTCATACAGATGACTGGTTAGGGACACTTCATCACATTTAAAAAGGACAACTTTGAATAAGCAATGACAAGGGCCTCAAATGACTGCCTATTTAAGCACACAACTGCAACATCGCATCCCAAAAGCACAATTTTACACTCAATGATTATGGACTTTAAAATTACCTCTAAATTTGAACTTATTTTGTCGCAAAAAATCTGCTTTGGAGACTTGGAGACTGACAAAATCAAATGAGAACAACAGAAAGAAGGCTCACCTTAACTTTGGTAGAATATCAAGTAACTGGAGCCCTGCAAGACAACGACACAATCCATCCATGAGCATCACAACACTCAGTCATCAGAATTTTAAGAAGGTTTATCTCCAGAATGTGTCACTGACCTATTCACAGTGGCATGTGTTAGTTTTGGGGAAATTGGCAGGAAGTCACAGGTGAGCAATCACACAAGAGGAGTGGCCATACAAATGGCTGATTGGTTAAAGGTGGTGGGTGGCATTTTAATGTTTTTGATATAGCTGCTGCATCTATGACACATTTGTCAAACTATCTTGACCGTGGTGATCTTCAGGCAGATGTAGCTCAGTGCTTACACCTCTTAAAATCTCCTGGTTTCAGTCCAAGGTTAACTCTGTTTTTGTCCAGTATATGCTGGGACAGACTCCACATAAAAAAGAATAATCCACTACAGAAAAACAGATGGAGGGATGGAAGGATAGGGTGTTTCACTCATAATATATCATTAAAAATCACATTAGGTCAGTGAGATTTAATCAGTATAAGAGTGATGACATGTTCTCTAAACTGAAATCGTTGATAGTCCCTGTTATTGGTGTAAAATGCATGAATACACAATGCTTTATACACTTGAGGTTTGCTTGGTTCTCAGGCGTTTTGTGAGTGAGAATGAGGCCATTGAACCTATTCTTAGACAGCGCCGGTGACAGACATATTTGTAACAGAGCTCCTGCTGATGGCCCGCTTTCCCCTCTGCATTCACATTCAGCCCAGAGAGGAGACACTGTTGCAGTTCACCACCGCGTGACCTTACTCATGATGGGACTCTGGACTCCCAATTAATTGTTAAGTAGCAGCTGAATGGAGAACCTACCGATAAACTGCTTTCTCATCTTATCTCTCTGCCTGAGGTCATCTCTCCCGAAGATGAGGGCGTTGACGACACTGAGGAGTGTCACCATGTAAGGGACGTTATCTGTGGCCTGCAGCTCATACATGATCACACTGAAGCGATACTGCTGCGTCTTCACTCCCTGAAGGGGAAATCAAAAGTCAGTGTGAGTCATCAACATCATTGAGGAACAGTGTGAATCCACGGGATTATAATGCTTGTGCATGCAACACACCACTAGAGGGCATCATTAAGGTACTTCATTAATTAACGTCATCGTTTAGAGCGCAGTATCAATCCCACAACAGCTTCACTTTTTCGAAAAAAATAAAGAAAGTTAAAAGTATGACTTCTACATCTTCTTACCTTGTAGTGGTCCAGGGCATCCAGTGCCAGCCGATGTCCGTCTGCAGAGAACACGCTGAGGGCAGCGAGTAGCTCAAACACCTGCTTCTTCACCATGGTGTTGGAAGTGTCCAAAGCTGCGGAGCATCGTGATCACACACATCAGTACAGGTCGGGCTCTCATAGTTTCCATCAGTTTCTCTTAAAGCAAAAACCCCCTCTATCTCTGCTCATCCCCCCTTGTGTGCGGACTCAAGCAAAATGCTGTATTTAACAATGCCTCTTGAACTTTGCCCTCTGATGATGTGTTGTACTGCAGATAAACATGTGTTTGTGTGCGTGTGTGCGTGTGTGTGTGTGTGTGTGTCTGAAGGTGGGGAAATCCAATATTGAGAACTCACTGTGATACCACATTTTTAGGAATGTCCTGAAGCAACCCTTACTGAATCATTTCCGTACATAATGCTGAGTACAAGGCCGGAAAATTCAGCTCAGCACAGTGAGTCACGTAGAGTTATGACCTATTTAATTACAACTTTTACATAATATATACAAAAAAAACATTCAGGTCCTTAAACATGGCTTTCTTTGGAATAAACAGGTTGTTTTAAACATCTTAACCAAATTACCCAGTATATATTTCCTGAAGCACCTAAGCCACCATTTTCCATGTGTAGGCTACTTTGAGACATAATCAAATGAACACTAAATGGAAAGATGAGTGCATTTTTTCCCAAAATAAAGGGTATGGTCAACCTTGGGAGAGCTTCCGAATGTATCCCTCGTTCTCTATAATGAAGTGGATCCCTGCAGAGGAGTTCATGACTGCCCTGACGCAGTTGACACAGGTGAGCTGCAGAAGGGCATCGGCAATGCGAGAGCATCCCCGCCCCGAAAGCCGGTCCAGGGCCTCCAGGAGGAGATCCAGCCCACTCAGCTCCAGGAACTGGACCATCCATGTCTGGTCGCTGGCCTCCAGGCGACGCTTCAGCCCCGAGTAGTTGACCACAGTGGGAATTTGCAGCAGTCTGATGCACAGCTCTGGGTCAGCACTCTCCAGGTTGGCCTCCAGCTGGGTATCTGAGTCCTGCGAGGAGCCGAGGTGACCCCTGACAGCCGCCCACTTGTTTTTCCCATCTGACTTCCCTGACATGTTGACTGTGGAGGACAGAAGGGAAAACGATCACAGTTTTTTTTTTTTTTCAATGTGTGCAGATGACAAGAGACAATTTTCAGCTATAATTTTTCAGAAAAAAATTCAGCTTGTTTTTGGACTGCGGATGCCGCCTGTTTGCAACGATATCGGAGGATTTTGTCCAACAGTGTTGTTATTGCTATCCAGACAGGCGGAAGCAGGCCAAAATAAGGCCTTCTCAGAAAGGAAAGCAGAATAGGAAATGATAACTCCACACTTTTGTGGGTGATTAAAAGATACGTCAGGAATCCAGTCACCAGCAGCTCTGCCAAACATTCTTATCTAATCCTGTTTAAAAAAAAGGGAAGCGACTGGTTGTCAGTTTGTCAAAACTCCCAGGCACACTTGTGACAAGCTAAAACATAGAGACAACTGTCCAGGAGTAACATTTTTACAAACATCACCAACATAATGTGACATTGACATGAATGCACTCATTGATCACCACAAGTGCCCTTTTTCTGGTATAACCTCAGAGCACAGTCCTCTCTTTTACGAGCCTGCCTCACCCACGAGCTTGTATAAATTATCCACTGCAGTGCAAGTTACAAGTACAGACACGTTCCCACAATCTGATCAAATTTACAAGTGTAACAGCTCGGGCGAAAAATGGGAAAAAACTTTCTCCAAAAGTTTGAACATACTTTCTCTCAGTGTTGCTGGAGTTGTTATATTAGGTGGTTCAGAATAAAACAAGTGTGAGTGGTCCTTCTGTCTCCTGCTGTTGATTTCACACTTGGCAAACATAAGATACACAGATGAGGCATTGAGTGTTGAGCATGTACAAACACAATGCTCTGTAAAAAGGTTATTCATAGAGACAATCTGGAAGGAATTATAGCTTTTACAAGTCTTCTATTTTACCATCTAGACAATATGAGGCCCTACTCTGGAATCCTGCTTTTTGTGACGCTTCATTTTGATTCTACGTGTTTTAGGAGATCAGTAAACTTAACACAGCTAAAAGATAAATTTGGGATTTCTCTCTTTTCAAAAAGTAATTCGCAGAAGTAACGACTTGTGAGAAATCAGACAAATTGGATTTCTATTCACTCGGCATAATCAAGGTAAAATGAGTCTCTTTCTCTTTTCTCACATATTCTGGCACTTGTCAGCTCTGACTGCAGCGTTTTAGTCCTGCTGCCAGTGTGAGAGTGTTACCGTGGCAGCAAGCCAGACAGACAATGGCGTTTTACAACAACAGGCCTTCTCAATACTCTTCAAAGGGCTGTGTTCAGTGGACACAAAATGGATGGATGGCTCCCTGCCCCCTTTCAGGCTAATAGAAGTTATAGCCAGAACACTTTCTGATTCTCGAGTACATTTGGCGTTCATGTTCAGTGCGAGGAACAAAAGCTGACGACGAGATGAACACTTGTGAAATGGACTCACGTCCTGCAAAGACGAAGACAGTTCAAAAGGAAATGGTGTGTGTGTATAAACAGGACTCGGGCAGCACGGCTGAACTTTTCATAAGGAAGGAAAGGACTTTCCCAGGACAGGAATCTTGGCTCAAGATAAACACGCGGGTGTGACAGTTTTTCTTTCGAAACTTGACTCAATTAAATTTTATGTGCAAGCATCTGGGCGAATTGGCAAGCAGTGTCACAGATAAACTGTGATGGGAAAAAACATTTTTCTGGACAAACACCAAGGAAATTTGATTCACCGACCTTGTCTGCCAGGTCTCCCACATGCACCACTAATAGCAGGCTGATTCACTGCTCACTGAACAAACCTACTCATCTGTCCTCTGGTTACGCCGCCCACACACAGCAGCCCACTGCTAGTCAACACTTCAGGACATCTCCACTGATTTTTTTTTTCTCCTATTAGACATATGCAAAGCTTGCTTGCATGATTTATTTTTTTTCTGCAAGTGTTCTGTGGAAGTCAGTAATTATACATGAGTAATAACAATAATAGCTTCTGGGGGAATAAACATCATGGGCCAGTTGAAATGTGTATCTCTCGCTGTATTTTGTTTTCTTCCACTGAGATACCAGATGGGAAATAAACGATGGGGATACATATTATATGTTATATTTTACCTTTTGACATGATGGATTTCATGGTACAGCTAACACATATGTTGCTTGGAGATTACATAATCTTAGATAATTATTCAAGCTTCATCAATGCTGTAATTTCTATTACAGTATTCCCAGAGTGATTTTTACAACATAGAACATTTGGTAGTCATTCAACTGATATCTTAACCTCTCTTCCACTCTCTGCTATTTAAGGGAGTGACCGAAATGCCTGCAAAGTCCACAAGCACATTGTGGAGTTGAAACGTTTTAGTTGTTTAGTTTCCTGTATGCCCAGACTCTCTGCAGAATTCCTTCAGCAATTGCCAGATTGATTTAAACATCTGCACATTGACAAATGCATTGACAGAGACAGTCCATTATGGTCCAACACTCAAAAACTGGAATTCTCAGTTCAAGTGGATTTTGACAACAGTTTTTTCTTCACCGCCGTCTTCCTCCTTCTGTCCGATGAAAGGAGGTTAAGAGGAGACAGACGATTGCCACCTCCAGCATGGATCAAACATATTGTCATACCAGAATGCAATTGCCAGTTTGCCAATCTGCATTATTGGTCCTTTATGATAAAAAAAACGGACCTTAGTAGCAACATTAACGGTGCAACATCATTACTTTGCGCTGCGATTTATTCCCCACAGAAGGGGCACAACGGGACTAGTAACTGACACCAGAAAACAAACCCTAACCGTTATGATTACTGTCACCACTAACTGTTACATGTCACATCGCAATGCCTTGTTGCATCGTTATAGATCACCTATAATCTGACTATGACACCTTACCTGCTTTTATTCCATCAATATGAAGACACTTGAAGAACCTCTGATGTGCTTTCAAATCAGGGAGCGCTTTGCAGTCATTTTAATCGGACAAAAAAACAAGCATGGAGCCCTGGAAATGCACTGTGGATCAAAGTGAAACCCTGTGTGGAGTGCGGATGGCACCGTTTTGAAAACGTTACAGTCCCTGAGCTTTCATTTACTTGTGGGAGGCGATCATCACAGCAACTACACTTACTAGCTACATTACTCCGCTTTGACATCCGGTCGAAACCATCAGAGTAAAACATGTGCGTAACGTTAGAGTGGCTGCGTTACGGATATATTAAACGCTTTACGCAGTTCTAGGCTCAAGATTGGATTTGGCCCTTTAAATGTAGCTATAATAATAATTATTCCAAGAGACTGTGGTTACAAAAAAATGTTAACGTTAGTATGGTTAGCTACTTAAGCAGTAAACTAATCACAGACAATCTTAAATTAAATACAAACAAACAACAAGTTATTATAAATGGAGTAACGTTACCTGCAGAAAGAGCTCCAACCAAGCTATTTGGATATCAAGCTAATATGTCAGTTAACTTGGTCACAACTTACAAAACTGACACAATGTCAGTTCTGCAACTGCTATGTAAGTGATGGGTTAACGTTACTAACGGTTAGAGCATTCAACTGAAAATAACGGCTGGAGGAATTACCTAAATCAAAGTAGTTTTTTTTCTTGTTGCATATTCACACTCAAATAGGTTTCCATGGACAGTGTTTTATTTTGGAGGCACAATTGCCTAATTTCCGGCCTTGGTGTGCCTGCCGTTTTCTGGCTTGAAGCTGATTGCGATGCGGAATGCAGCCAGTGGTTTGTGGGCCTCCTCCCATGCTCCCCATCCCATCAACTGGATTTGACTTCAGGCGGACAGTCGCTGCGAGAAGAAAATGAACCTGAGTTAATCCAAGCCAGTCAACAAATGTTGACAGTACAAGATGCCTGTCGCAGTAACAAAGCAGCATCATTCTGAATGAATACTGTTTATTGCAGAGACAATGTCCGACCCTCAGGGTGTTTGAGTCGAGATCCAGGGGTTTAGAAATGTCAAAATCTCCCACAAAGTTTTGATCCACTACTTGATAGAAATGGGATATGAGAGGACATGAGCTATAGCTTGTAGCATATTCAGTGCATGGAGATAACAATTCAGCAATTTCTTAATCATCTTGGACTTGGGAGTGAAAATGTGCTTTAATGAACAAAATGTTCCTGTGACTAAAAACACTGGAATAACAAGAAGTTCGTAAAAGCAATAACTGCCTTGAATGTGTTTGCATGTCTCCTTAAGGACAGTAAAGTTGGGATGAACAGAAATAGTGTTGTTATTGTTTTTTTTTAATTATTATTTGGTGCTTTGAGTGTCTCTTGTCACTGTTTTTATGCATATAATTCTGAAAAGACATCATCAATAGAATTTTTCATTCCGTATCTGAATTGAACAACCTTCACTGTCAGAGGGACAATAGTGACTTTGGATCTGGATATTTTGTTGAGAATTCATGATCATTCCCCTGTGACTCGAGGCAATTGAGCTTGCAAGAGTTTCACTGCCTCAGAGAAGAGTATCTATATGGTAAACGTATTGTTACGCTGCCTTAGGTCCCCTGAGCCAAAAGTGCCGGCACCATAAAATGTTTTTGTTTATCCAGAAGAAAATGTGGCTTCTAGCGGGGAGAGCACTGAGAAATCAGCAGCGGGAACTTCAATTACAACATCAAAGAATATGCAGGATTGCTGATCAGCAGGATCAGCCTGCCACAGGGAAATAATGACCACACCTTGTTTGAATGGAACAACAAAAGCTATTGAGCTAATCTTATAGGCCTACTCATCAAAGAACAGGATCATGAAACCCAATGGGAAACAAGCTCCCTAAAGTCAACATAATTTTCATTTATTGTTGTGTATACAGGCCTACACATTAGAGTGATTTTGATTTTTAGCCATGATTCAAGGCACAAACTAACTCTTAACCCACTAGTCCTGCAGTCAAACCTTTTACCATGAGGACCTCTATAAAGGTGTGTCAGTGATTACAGGATTTAGTTCTACTGTGTTTGTCCAAGGTTTCCCATAACAGTGTCATTAAAAATGATTAATAGGAGGCTGTAACACGGCTCATTTTTTCTTTTTCAAATCAAAGTATTATTAGTATTTAACTTAGCATTCCTCCTCTTACTGGTGATCCGCTGGTGGCTATCAAACACCCATCAAGAGTCAAGAGCACATGGATCCCAGTTTGGACACCACATTAGCCGACAACCTGAGGCTGTCCCAGAAAAGCCACAATCATAGCTCATATAGCTACAACTAAAAATGAATAAATGAAATGGTCTAAACAGCAGAGGTCTCTGTTTACATTTAACAATTGATACAAGGTGCTGTCATGCAGGTAAAGTAAAAGCAGACTGATTCAAATGTAAATAAAGGTGGAGCCCAGCTGCCCAAAATTAAAACAAAGGTGTAAACTGTTGTAATAATTCATGTAGAACCAAACTGATCCATCGCCAGGCTATAAGCTGATATCAAACTATGTGTAAGAATTGGTGTTTATGTTGGCAAATGTGCAATAACTAGATGTAATACTAGAATGAGTGTGAGGAGTGTCGCTGTTACACAATTTGTCCACCAGAGAGCACTCTGTACTCATTACGACAAGAGAAGTTTAGCACATAACTTGATTATTCGAATATCAAATGTCACAACTCTTTACAGAATTGAGCATCGGTAAAATAATGAAGACCAATACATTCTTTACTGTCATTTTTACTCCCAATTGTGAATATTTGTAACAGCCTCAAAAACCAAAGCATCGTTATGGTGTAAAAAGTGTATTGACATTAAAAATAAAGATAAATAGTTGAGATCACAATACGGCTCCACAAATCGATCTCTTTATGATGACGTGCTGGAATACATTTGAAGTATGATGTAACTGTGCAGTGAAAGTAGACATGGCGGATTCAGCCCACGAGACACAACAGCAATGTTAAAACGAGTTAAAAATATTAGGACTGATAAAACCTACTTCTCGATGTACACGATGTGGTTCAAATGTCCAGGTTGTTTCTGCATTTAGCCAACAGCAGAACAGAACAACGGAGCAAAAACTACATTTCCCAGACTGCAGTGCACTTCCTAGTTGAAAGGTCGAAGACGTAAAACGCATGCTGCCTGGACCCGGGAATAACAACAAACAGCTGCATTCGCCAAACGTTGACATTTCTTATTGTTCTGTATTGGTGTCGTTGCTCGTTGTTCGCAGACATGTCTGGAAAGGCCAAGGATATCCTGAAGCTGGATCTGTATGGTTTACTCGGTATTGACATCACTGCTACATCGAAAGAGGTGTGTAAATAAGCTAGCTGTTAAGCTAGTTAGCTAGATATAAAGTCGCTATTTTACAGGCGCATTACGGACTGGATGACGCTGTTTTAGCAGACGGTTTACCGGACTGTCTGCTAAGTGAACGGTGAATGTCACAGCTGTTGTGTTTGCACCAGGAGAGACTGTGTGGCATGTTTGGAGGCTATATTAGCATGCTATCATGGAGCTTAAAGCTGTGTGTGTGTGTGTGTGTGTGTGTGTGTGTGTGTGTGTTTTTTTTGTGTGTGTGTTCGTTCATGTGAACTAGACACGAGTCTTTTTTTTTTCTGTGAACAGAAATGCCAGGTAAGTAAAACGAGGACTGAACTTCTAGGTCCAGTGAATGAGACACATGTAGCAAAAGTCAAACACCGGCTAATGGCTGAGAGAATGACAGAGGTGTGATGCACAAAAAGACCACATGGTGGCGGTGTTGCATCAGTTTAGGTTTTGCCTTCGGTGATGGTGGATATCAATTCTAGTGCTGCAATCAATTTTGATCAAGTACCCTGCCAGTTATTTTTCCGAATAAATAATTGATTGGTTTATTAAATGTTAAATCAAGTAAAAAATGCCAGTCACAATTTTGCGCATGCAAAGGATACGTCATCAAACTGCTTGTTTTGGATGACCCGTAGTCCAGAACCTCGAAGATATTTAACTTACAATACTGTTAAACGGAGAAAAGCAGCAAATGATGAGAAATAAGGAGTGTTTAGCATTTCTCTTTAAATATCACAATGGTTGACAATTATTTTCCCTTTGATCAACCGATTGATTAATAGACTAATTATGTCAGCTCTTAATAAATTACTAGAGCATGGATGCCAAATTCATTTTTGGTTTGTAGTCTGCCAAGTCCATGTATGTTCTTTATCTAAAACGAAACCAACATGTCTGATCACAAACATATCTGACGAGGCCTGGGAAATGATGTAATAACCTATCTCTACAAAACCAGGTCTGCCCACCTCTGCACAGTACAAGCAGAATTTAGCCTGAATGACATTTAGTGCCTGCATGGATTTTGAATCAACTCCTCTGTTTTATTCCCCAGTCCAGAAGTGGTTCACCATAATGTTCAGAATCCTGCCTTTTCCCTTTGACCCCCCCCCCCCTCTCATCACAGTTTCCAGCATCTAGAATCCACAAGCCCAATGGGAAATTAAAATTGCGGCCCAAAATGAGGGACGAATGTAATTTCTTAATTGGATTTCAAAGTCCTGTCCTCCCCGGAGGATTATCCTGGAGGAAGTTAGCGGTTATGGCTTGGGTAGAACTGAGGCTCCAGAAGGCTGGTTCTGTGAGGTCTGGTGATGGTCGAGAGCGATAGCGTATGTGTGTGTGTGTGTGTGTGTGTGTGTGTGTGTGTGTGTGTGTGTGT